TTTTGGCCATGTTTTCTTGAATTTTCTTGGATTTTCCTTGTTGGTCAAATTTTCGATTTTCTTGATAAACTTATTAGTTCTGCAGGGTCTTCATTTCCGCTTTGGGGATGATGGAAATCCAACCGATAAAGCTTCGCGCTTATTTCCAATTGTATTTACCTCTTTGTAAACATAATTTGAACTGACCGTGAATCTAAAGGTCGTAGGTTTTTTAAAAAAATTTCTGTAGCACATTTTGTCCTTGGAAAACATGTTAAACGGTGGCTCGCACTCGAAGGAAGGTGATGGCGCCATGGTGGGTCAAAGGTCAAATGTGAAATATATAAAAGTTGCGGAAGGTTCAACTTAACCGGTGGCTAAGAACTTGAGTTTAAAATTTGTTCCTGGCGCGCAAAATCTCAAAAACAAAACTGTCCCCAGCAACCTGCTTCACTCTCTGTAGTTTGAAACCATTGATTTTTTTTGTGTCGCTGATTCATGGGCGATTTGTGTTTTTGTGTTTCTGCCATTTTATATGCATAAATACGTATTTCTTTGTGTGATCTTGATGACAATCGTTAGCGTTACAGATTGAGGAACGTCTAAAAACACAGTTTCTAATAGTTTATGTACCACCGAATGGTTTGTATGTAAATAAATACTTTTATAATCGGCTACATACCCGCATAGTGCCATAACTCATTTTATTACCACGTGACCTCTTTTACAGATATTTGCATATTTATGTATGTATGTATGTGTTAAGCGTGGATTTATCCTCAAATTAAACTGGACAGTTTGATTATGTAAATAATGCATAATTATCAATTAATAATATCGCTAAAATCAAAATTTCTAAGGTTAACGGATTAATGATTTATGTATGTATGTATGTATGTATGTATGTACATATATTACATTTCGCATGGGCATATGCTCAATCAACCTTGATCCAGTTAAAATAATAATTCGCCAAAATATGTCAATACAATATGAAATACTATCAAATATGTAACACATATTTGATACGATTATTCAAGTTCCCATTCGAAATCAAAATCCCCATCCTGACAAGCTTTTAATTCCACGTTGTCCCCCGAATTTGTTCCCAGACACTTCCTGCTCAGCCAGTTTTGAGTCACGTTTTCACATATTCCTGTAGTGACCCAGTTTAGGTTCAGGGTGTCATCTTTAGTCCCCACTCCTTTAACCGTTTAGAATTTGACCCAATGCACAGATTTGTTGCCCTTTTTTAAATCGTCGAGTTTGGCACCCAATCCCAATGGAATTTTTTCCCATTGCATGCATTCACATAGTTTCAATTCAACCTCTGTGGAAACGGAACCTTCCGCACAGAGCTCAACGCCGCCGATTTTACGCCGCCGCGCCGCCAAACGCCGGCACAGTTTTAGGCGCCGCCGCCGCCGAAAAATCGAATTTCCTATACCTTTAACATTGAGACGCCGCGCCACGCCGCGCCGCCCCGCCGCGCCGCCCCGCCGAAAAGTCACCAAAATTGGCGCCGCCGCAAAATTGGTCGGCGTTGATCTCTGCTTCCGCATCGATAAATTTCGCACGTTATGAATTGAACAGGCAATGTCAGAGTAGGTTAACAAGAAGAAAACTACGGCGCCCCCCATGCACTCCGACGGGTTTCATACTGGGCTGAAAGTTCCGACACAATAATTAACAGTTACATACTTATATATACAAGTATGTATGTATGTATGTAAAAAATTGACCCAACCCCTAAAATGGGTTCTGCAATTTGCTCAATAATTACGTGTGCTTTGAGATACGTACATAAATATATTAATTTTGATTTAATAAATCTGTGGGACAGAAAATCGACGTATTTTCGTTGGTTAAAAATATGTATGTACATATGTATGTAGGTGCATTGAAAGAAAGAAAGCTATTTACAAACTCACGTGAAACTATTTACATACATAGATTGGATAAACTCGGTGTGAAAGTATGCCAAGGTACCAGGGTTGGCCAAGATACTTTGTTTCCAAGATACAAGATACAAGTACAAGATACTTTGCAGAAATTCCAAGATACAAGTACAAGATACTTCTTGGTAACTTCACTCAAGATACAAAGTACAAGATACTGTATCCCAGATACTTTTCCCAAGATACAAAATACATTTTTTCCAAAATCAAAAAACGCACTTAAATTCTAATTTTCTAACTGTGAAACGGTTGATTTTGAAATTGTCGTTCAGTTATTCACAAGACAGGCGTAAACCTAAAGATTTTCTTAAAATTTACCTTCTAAAATATTCATCACCAACTAATGTACATGTGACATGAGGGCATTAAGCCATATGTACATATGTACATACTTACATACACGTATACTTGTAAATATGTAGTACAACTTTATTGTCGGCACTCTTTTAACAATCAATATTTGCTCTACATATATTTTATTAATGCAGACGACTTGAACTGCTAACAGGCTCCGAGGAAGATATTTTTAGAATTTCGAATAACTTTTCGGTAGTTGCGGTGTCTTAACTGATTTTGAATTTAATCCAAATTACCCTACGAAAAACAAATTCAGAGCTTACAGCATACTCAAAATCTAAATAATCATTTTTTAAATGACGGAATCACTGAAACTCTAAATAGTTTTTGCATGGCTATAAAACTTTGAAGGAGGAAAAAATTATGAAAAGTATCTTGTATCTTGAAAAGTATCTGGGATACTTTCCAGCAAACTGGTGGGAGTAAGATACAAGTACAAGATACTTTTGTTGGACCTCGTTCAAGATACAAGATACAATACAGTATCTTGTATCTTGTACTTGTACTTGTATCTTGGAGTAGTATCTTGGCCAACCCTGCAAGGTACATACACATGCGGCCTCGGAGTTGCAAGCAACCAACCTCTTATCCGGCAAGAATAAACCATGAATTTTTCCACAAGTCGGGTAATTATTCATCCTATGAGACTCCAACTATGAGAAGAGGTCGTCAATTTAATTGAGAAATTCTCATTGTCAAATTAATTATTTGCATCACATTCATACATATACATAAAAACTTAACGGCTTTTGAGTACACTAAATATGTATGTATGTACATATGTACATGTTTGCATCACGATAGTCGATAAGACAATCGTAGCTGGAATCATGTAACTTATTGTTACGTAGTGGGCTGCGTTCTCAACATTATATGTTATTTATTTATTTATTGACATCAGGCTTTATTTACAGAAATCTTGTTACGCCTGACGGTAACATGCTTAATCAACGCGTCCATACATACATTTCTACAATAAACAGTAATACAGTATAAGTATGCGTGTATTTGTGTAATTTAGAGTAGAGGAGAGAGGAATGCACGCAGTCTTGCCAAAAGTTTTGTCCCAGGGTGCTGGGAAGTTTGTATGTAAGAGGTGGTGGTAAAAGTTAGTTGGCGGGTGGGTTTGAATATTCGAATCCGCACATGTTTGACATCTTATTGCAGAAATCTGTGCTATGAAAATGACTGCTTTCACAGTCAGAGTCTTCAGAATGGGAACGATTTCACAACAGAAGGATTTTCATGGTCAAAAAATTCCCAGGCGGGAAATTTGAGGTGTAGCGACTATGTACATATGTATGTATGTAATATGTATGTAAAAGCGTGGCTACCGCAGGCCATCTGTTCATTCCTAGACTGCCAGCTCCACTGGAGAATCTGCAAATAAAAATTAATCTTTGTTTAGTGACCTTTTTCGCTGTATCGCGTATCATCAAGGGCTAATTGTATTTCCAAAAGGGGCATGATCAACGCCATTTCTGTTCCCAGCTTTGGCATTCTAATTCCGTAGGGTGCTCTGGTTTTCTCCCACCTGTGAGTCCGAACAATGGAGTGTACATATCCTGTATACATGCATGCGTGTATATTGATATATATGGGTGTATGTATGTATGCTATGCACGCATAATTAATGTACATGTGTATGCATGCTTATGTACGTATTTATTTAGTATCCATAGTATTGATATGTATGTACATATGCAGGCCTGCACCCTGCGCAGGGTGACAATGACCTTTTTCTCCCTTTCTGAAGCTCATACCAGCATGGCTAAAGTCAGCACAAATTATATTTGTCTACATACATATGTATGTACCCATGCATAAATACGTATGCATGTTATGTACATATATATGAATGCATTTATGTATTATGTACATATTATGACTTAAATTCTGGCATGTATGTACATATGTATGTACAGGTGTGCATTTTGTACCAATTACATATATACATACATACATACATATGTACAACCCTTGATTGCCTGGGTATGCATGTATGGGCATAAAATCCAGGTAAACATTTTTGAAATTTTAGCCAAATTACTTAAATCGAAATGAGACATTTAATTAAAATTGATATGGACAATTATCATCAAATTCACTATGGGAACCGGTAATAAATATATGTAATTCACTAGGGGGGAAACCATTAAAATTGTCATACATAGAGTAGACTGTTTGAAATCTGATATATTTACATAATATGTAAACGCGGGTATTGATGTAAACATACACCCCCTTAAGTTTAAATGAACATACATATGTACATATACCGATAAATAAAAGTTTGCCATTATACCGATCTGGTTAAACTTTAAATATTACCATGGACATTATGTATTAACTAATACCACATCCAAAAACTCATGTGTATTTATTTATGTACATTCATACATACATATGTACATAAATAAACATATGGTTGAATACTGCTTGGTATTATTTTAATAATGGATTTCGAGGAATGTGTAAAAATTCTTAAAAACCTTCCCTTCCAGGAAAGTACTTGATTTTGTTACTAAATATGTAAATCACACGCTTACAGGTATTTTTAACTTTACCATAATTGCACGGGTCGGACAGGAATATTATTGCCCACGTTGCTCGTATGCACATATGTACATATGTATGTATTTACACATGTATGTACAAACACGCTCACAGAGGGTGTTTTTTCAAATATTTGTATGTTGAAAAAGTGTAGCTAGAACGCCTTATTTAATGCAAATAGTTCCAACTTGTTCAACTCATTCGTAAAAAGCCACATGTGAGAAGAGCACATGTATCGTTGCATACAGCTTAATACGATACGGCTATTGGGCTAATCAATTATATCAATTACAAGATTACCACCAGACTGTTGAAATTGTGAATAAGATTATCGTTATATGTATGTAACCGTAAAATGGCTGCTGCCAAAGCAATGTCGAACGTACTGGTAATGATTGATAAAAATAGCACACAATTCGAAATAGTTTTACCTTTTAATTTAATCAAAATATTTTTCAAATTTTAAACATTCAGATTGTCCAAGCGATACTACAACATGTCCAAGATGACGCCGACGTTGTCCAATTCCGTCTCGTGTCCCCCCTTTGGAACGAGATCATCCTTTCCTTGGTCACGCCACGGGTGCACGTCCACCTCAACCGGGTCGTATCGTTACCGGATGGCGTCGCTCTTAGCCCCTTCATCAACCCCACAAAATTGGCCTCCTTTCCCCCAAAATTGCTCAAATCCGTCATTTTTACCGCTCACCCCAACGACGAAACGAATTTAGCACAAGCGCAAAATTTACTGGTACAATTTCGCGCTCAAATTCAACACCTTTCCGTCCTCGGTGGAGACAATGTGGGCCCCTTTTTGCACCATATTTTCGCAAACTGTCGCCTGGACCAGGTAAAAAATTTACACGTGGTCATGGATCACGAAAAAGTGCACAGGTATCGAAGACATCGAAATCCCACCCTAACTATCTCTCAATGTGAAACGGAAATTTCTGAAAAACTGGACCTCAGACAGATTCGATATGTTGTAAAATCCAAGTGTTTCCGGAATTTGGAACATTCCCAAGAGCAGCAAAAAATTTTAAGATTTCTCTTAACCATGAGCCCAAATTTGGAATATCTTCAAGTTAAAGATGACTCTTTGTCCTCAATCCTGGGCAATTTTAATAACTTGAAAACCTTTAAATTTCATTGGGACATTGGAAAGATAACTCGTCCGGAGATCACGAGTTTACAAAATTTGAATAAATTTCTGGAAAGGGTTAAATTTTCCCTGGAGCGGTTGAAATTAACGGGGGACTTTACCGGGTCTGTCGTGCAGTATGATATTATCGGGTCTCGCATTTGGCATGACTTTTTACCGTTCAGGGACCAGTTTCACCTCCCGCGGGAAGGGATTCCAAATTTGAAATGGTTTCAAAACGGAGTCATGCGAACTTTCAAGTGTGGGAGGACGGATTTCGAGAAAATGGGAAAGCTGGAACATTTAGAATTGTACGAAGTACCGAAGGAACTTTCTGCAATGACGAACATTTGCGTGGGCACTATTTTACGGTGGGATATAGCGTGTTGGGGAGGAATTACGACCTTGAAACTGGGTGGGATTGAGGATATCAAGTTGTTGGAGTGTATTGGTGAGTTTGAAGTTAAACATAATAAATAATTTTGGGTGTTGGGGGGAGATTGAAAAATGGGGGGAGGGGCCTCATTGGTCGGGTGTCGGTGAGCTACGTACATATGTAGCTTAACTCAATTTTTACAGAAGGAATGTTCGCATTTTTAAAAGTCTAGCCATATTTTCGCCATACCAATTTTTCATTAAAAAATCCTGTTGGTTTTTAACTTGTATGTACATCTTCCAATTTTTTCACTGAATAACAATTCCTAAAAAAAACATGTCCCGTTTATGAATACAACTACTTATTTTTGTACGGAACAATTTATGGAAGGCCCGGCGCTCAGGAAAATTAATTTAACGTTTTAACCTTTCAGGTCTCAGGTTTCCATCCGTGCGACGACTTGATGTCAACATTCGTGTCTGGAGTGAGAATGTCTTTTTGAGGACGATTTTTGAAAAGTTGGCGCCCATCAAGACGTTAACTCATATCTCAGTGGGGGCTCCGTTTCCCACCAGGTTTTCGAAATTTGTCGACTTCCTTGAATATTTGACGACCTCATTTCAAAGTGAGAATTTTCAAAGCAGAACATAAGCACCTCGAGTAGTATTTAAATAAACTTAATTTATTTATGGCCCGGCAGATGTCACCGAGATACGCGTGGACCGCTGCACTTTTGACGGGTTTAGTCTTAGGTACGAGCGGTGTTACCAACCCCCGGAAGTCGATGTGCGTCAAATGAATAGATTACGTAGTTTGATCCCCGCTCTTTTGAAGAGTCGGGAGTTGACGGAATTTACGGGTATGCAGATCACTCACGTACCGACTGGTCTCTCATTTCGGAGAGGTGCTCCATTTCAGTGTGAAGAACAAAATGTTGGTTGAAGTTACTCCGTTTTCCGAAATTCTTTCCAATTTTGCATTTATACTAATTTACACATATGTAATAAAGCTTTATTGACTTTAAAACATATTTGTGTCTCCTTGCTTGTGAGAATATATACAGTATGAACGGAGCGTTTTCATTTATGGGCTTGCATCATGCTTGCAGAAATCACTGTATCTCGCTTCCATCTCAATTATGTATTTATATACTACCGTCAAAATTTGCCTGCACATGGAAAATATAATCCGTATAAACATAACGAGATTACTTGGTCTCCTCACTTAACTGGACTGACGACCTTTGACAAATGGTCCACGTGGCACTAGATTTGGTCCAAATTAGGATTACAGCGTAGTGAGGCCAGAGATGTCAATTTTTATAACCTCTCGCTCTCCTCTCCTCTCACCAAATTCTCAAATTTCAACCTCTCTCTCTCCTCTCCTCTCATTTAGTTCTAAAACTCTAACCACTGTCTCTCTTTACCTTTCCATCTCATTCTCATTTGAGCGGGAGAGGTAAAATTGACAACACTGGTCAGAGCAATGGCTTCTTATGTGGGTATGGCTAAATATTTATTTCAGAAAATTCTCCTTCCAGTGGAATACCAATAATAACATTCTCTTCAGTGATGAAACTTGGCTGGAAGTTTCATCAAAAGGAAATACACAAAATCAAAGATAGTATACTGAAGATCCCACAAAAATTCCCAAAATATTAGTCCCAAAACATGGCATTAAAGTAATGGTAGCAGGTGGCTTCTGTACTCAAGGAGTTACAAAGCTGCATATGGTGAGTGGGGGTACCGTGAACGCCGCCTACTACAAAGACAAGATTCTCCCACTATAGATATACATTCAATCCATGAAGGACCAGACATTATTCCTTCAGCAACAAAAACTTACTTTTCAACAAGATGCGCACTGCGTACATTACAAAAGTTACCACCAAGGTTTTGGATGAGCTCCCGTTGACGGTGTGCGGAAAGGGGGTGTGCCCGGGAAATTCTCCGGATTCAAATCCAATCGACAATTTATGGTCCATTGTTAAGGATTCAGCGCACAAACAGCCAAATCCAACCACAACGGCTGAGTTATTCCGAAGATTTCAACATGAGTGGGGAAATATTAAGGTTACTGTTTTGGAAAATCTTGCGCAGTCTTTCAAAGGATGAAATTGAGGAAATGCTGGATGCTGCTGGCGGACACTCCAAACATTGATTTATAATTGTACAAAAAAATTATAATGTTCGCAATAAAAAGTTATAAACATTCAAACTTTCTACTAAAAATACTTTCAACAACTTTAAGCCCACAGGTTACATATGTTGGTACGGAAATGAGCCAGATGTGTTTGTACATTACTACTAATATGTACGTATGTACATATGCTTTAAAACTGACGATGTATACGTAGTGCAGACTACAAAATAAGATATTTTTGTGCAACTTCTTCCTTTCTGTGGGGATCATGTAGCACGATGAGTCGCTAGATCTGTCCATACATATATGTATGTATGTATGTAACACTCTTCCCGACATAACCGCATTTAAGGGGCCGTTCGAACATTGTGCGGTTAAAAACCGTGGAATAAATTAGCTAACATTATTCATCCCTCAATTACATTAGGTTGTATGGATTTAAAATCTTATATGACAAGGAATAGAGTGACTAAATTGATGGCATAATGCCTTTTTAGTCAAACTGTTGCACCCGGGTCCACACACGGGAGATGTTTTTAACTTTCCACGGTTAAACATGCTCTCCCCTCGTTCCGTCATCTTCAAATCTGCTGAATATGTACATGCATATTTACATATGCCTCATACTTATGAGAACGTAGGGGAAGAAAGTTTCCTTCTTTCGTTGTCGTCGGTCTGAACGATACACATTTAGTAATGATTTCTTCCCAGAAAACAGAGCGAGAAAGGTCCCTTTGTTTATCGAGATCCTTTTTGGAAGTAAGTCCACCAACGAAATAAAAGGAATATGTGTATGTAACTAACTACCAGGAATCGCCAAGAAACGCAAAGTTATATTTCACAAGAAAAATTTCTTTTGACACAAATTAAGTTATTTTATTGCTCGTTTGCAGTACATAGTTTCATTCGAAAGTGTTCAGTTTAGTAAGTGGGGACGAATTTTCATTTAGTTAAAAAATGTGTTTCACTTTGTTAAATTGGCAAACAAATTTGGAGAAAATTCAAAACTCCTTAATTTATACGGCTGGAGTAAGTAATTAAACAACTGATTTTGTTTCTTCTAAATAAAATTAATAAAACTGGAATTTTTATAAGAAAATTAAATCTCATTTAACTTTGCGTTTGTACATTGTAAAAATCGGCACATATGTAGTAATGTAGTTAGAGTCACATACATAGTTAATCTGTAATAGTATTGAGTTACTAATTAATCTTCACGGGGTTTGTTATGATATTTTAGAAACTGGTACAATTTTTATTACCCTCAAATAACCAAGTAACCAAGTAATGTTACTACACCGGTATGTACATATGTTCATACATGTGTACACCTTACCATGTACATATGTAGATTCTCCGTTCGGTACTAATCCGTCGATATTTGTTACCACGTTTCCTACAGTTTATTAATTCTAATTTGTGTTTCTTGACGTTAAATATAATTATTCATAAATTCCATGCTGATGAATTAAAGATACATATGTACATTAAGTTGAGAAAATAAAAAGTGAAGAAATACCGTAAGATTCTTACATCTAATTTTTTTATTGCAGAAATTTCATCATGCTTTAAGTATGTATGTAAATATGTACATAGATACATACGTATAAAACAGAGTAATCTACATCTGTACGTTCATGAATATCCACAAAATGTACTCAAAATTCCCAACGTAAAAACTCCTCGAGGTAAGAAGATTATTTAATCCATTTCAAATTTGTATTCCCTCAAACGAAACCTGATAAAGAACGAGCTTTACTTTTGTCTTCAGATTGTTTATATTATGTACACTGTAAAAACTGCCGTCGGTTTTTTAGTACGGACGTACCGAAAATGTAACATCGAGCATTCCGTACTGAAATTCAGTACAATCCTACTTGTATTTGGTGGGAATGTATTTAAAATAAAACATTGAGTTCACCCCAAAACTAAGGGTTTTCGTAATAAAACTTAGGGTCTACGGCGACCATAAGTGGGCGAAAAAAATTTTTCAAATTCAAGTACGGAATGCTCGATGTTACATTCTCTATACGTCCGTACTGAAATATCGAGGGGATTTTTTAGCGTGTATGTGTGTACACTCTAAATAAAGTGGTAATAGATGAAGTCATATGCATATAGAGTTTAAGCTGGTAACAGACAAACTTGTTACCGCGTGGTTGCCAATATTTTACCGGGTGGTAATAAATTACCATCTAGAGGTAGTCAATGGTTACCACCCGGTAAAATATTGGCTACCACGCGGAAATAATTTTGCCTATTACCAGTTTTACTCTATATATGACTTCATCTATAACCACTTTAGCTAGAGTGTACATACATACTTACGTAATTATTTACATATTTCATCTTAGTCTAGCTTTAAGCAGGATGATGTCATACATAGATATTTATGCATCTGTACTTACATAAATTGTTTACATAATTATGTATAATATTTCATAATCAGAAATCTTCCTAGAAATCGTATAATCAATCCAGATACACATCTACATATGCCTCCGTCAGCGTAAGGACACAAAAGTGGAAAAAGTTGTTTTCATTCATTGTAAAGTTGTCACAAAATTTATAAATGATTTTTATTAGGATTATGGATTGTACAATTTTAACTGTGTGCATTTATGTATATACATTTCTACAAATTACGTAAATATGCTTGTATTCATTTTTCTAAATAATTGAATAGTAAAAGTCTAATAAGGGATGGTTCCCCACTGCTTATTGAGTCCAGGGTACCCACAATGTTTTTTATGATCTACGGGGGCCTTAGATGAAGGATTCATTCACACCTCCGTGTAAAACTCACATTTGGCGCCGTGGCGTGGCGCCAAATTCGCCATATTCGCATGTTTTTGTTTTTGAAACCGCCATAACTTTTGAAATTCTGGACCGATTTTCATGATTTTTGCGCTAAAATGATCACAAAGAGTTTAATGTTTGAATGCCAACAAAAAATAATTCATCGAATCTTTTTGAGAAATTTCGATTTTTACTCGGACAAGGGTGTCGTCGAAAAAATATTTAAAATATGTCAAAAATTTAATAAATTCATTTTTTAATTATTTCTTGAAATCTCGATTTTTGTGATCATTTAAATCCAAAAATTTTGAAAATCGCACTGAAACTTAACAAAAGTTATGAAGATTCGAAATTGGTCGAAAATCCCATTTAAAAGGTTTGGCGCCCCGCCACGGCGCCAAATATGAGTTTTACACGGAAATATGAATGGATCCTTCATCTGGGGCCCCCGTAGATCATAAAAAACATAGTGGATACCCTGGACTCAATAAGCAGTCGGGAACCATCCCTTGTAAGTACATGTATGAATTTAGTCGTGTTTCACATCATATCCTAATCTTTTTCATCTCACAGATTGAATGGGACATCAACAGACCTCAACTCATGGATCTAAATATACACCCCTTCCATAATATGCAGACTTCAAAATAAAGTAAACGATAATCTTCCCACATTTCGTCACCTCACTTGCAAAACATCAATTTGTGGATTCTTTTCTGCCAAGATGTACTCAACATGAGGCATTTCAAGTTTGTCAAGTTGTTGCAACAAAAAGTAACCCATTATCTTTTGCTTTAACCTAAATACATAAATTTAATCATAAGGAAAATCTTACGTACATATTCACATTAGTAAGTATTTGGCTGTACAAAAATTAAGTTATATAGATGTAAATATACATAAATACTGTTAAATTAAGTTCACACATATCAAATTTCTAAACGACGAATACATACATATTTCCTACATACATATTTCCATAAGTAGCCCCATCTATTATGCTTCAAGATCGAGACAAACCCAAATATGTATTGCACGAATTTAAGTGTATGTACAAGAATTTCTTAATTTAAAACATCTAAGGTGATCTACAAAACTATACAAATTAGTTTGTAAAATCACAAATTCCAATTCTGCATAATTCAGAGGTGAAGGTGATATTTACAAATTCCTGATATAAAATAGTTCCCCTTAAGGTTCTTGTTACACTTTGGGAGAGAACTGAACCGAGCTGCAGTTTTCCCACTTTGATCCCTCCCACTCGCTGTGAATAACATTGCAAATCCCAATTTTGCATCGACCATCTGAGGGGGGAGAGGACGAAGTCACATTTCCAACATGCACTGTTTTGTTACGTTAATATTTACATATAAATTTCTTAGTACAATTTTCAAATTTGTTGGTTTAGCGGGAGATACGCTGAAGCATTTGCCAATTCTGCGTTTCTCCCGCTGGTTCAGAGTGTCACCTGATAAACCAAAAAAATTGAAAATAATACTAAAAAATTCCTAAGAAACAACGAAACAAAATCGTGCATGTTTGAAACCTGATTTCGCCCTCTCCCCCTCACAGGGTGGAGTCAAAATTCTTATGGGGATTTGCAATGTTATTCAATGCGAGAATGTGGAAGAAGGATTAAACCAGGCAATGGCTCTTGCTCACAATTCTCTTCCGCGTCATCCTTTGCTACTTTAAACACCTCGATTCAGTTCATGAAACAGCGACGTCAATTTTCAATTGCTATGTACACAAATCAGGCAATAACGAAATACGCATATTACTAATAATTAGTCTTTGTATTACTTATTTAGTTCAGCCTTCATTCAAATTGTTATCAATGCATATCAGGTTTTAATCTATGACACAACTCAATATAATGCTCTTAGGACGGATCTACAAGTTTTCTTTATGTGAGAAGCACATAAGTAGCTACCCACTTAAACTTAAACTTATGCTACTCACTTAGGTTTCACATTTACTCTTTATACTTTGCAAAATTTTATGAAAGGTTTTAATCCGATTAAGTCACATGTGTTGAGGGTATTATTCTTGACCTGGTTGGTAACGATAATCACACCAAACTAAAGAATTAATTGATACAAAATTACAATTTCTTGGAGTCAATTCCTGACCGTAATTCTTGAAAGTTTTGAATTAAAAATGAAAAAAAAACTACATAAACTGAACAAAATTCAAATAAGTAAGTAACTACCCTACTCGCCAAGATTATCGGGCCGAAGAATATTCTAGAGTGGCAAGGGTGGTCAATGGTAGGCCGACTTTGCCAACCATTCCCCACTTGAATAATTTAAAAATTCGGTACCCCAAGAAACTACATATCCTCACCCCGAAAGTGGGAAAACGTTGGCAAAAGCATATTTAAAATGCATTTAATAATAAATGTCGGCACGAAGTCGGGCCTTTAGTGGCCAATTATTCCATGCGACGCCACCTATCGTCCGCAGCGTAGAATACAAACTTAAATCGATTTTCAGCACGAGATTCTGGCAGCATGGCTAAAATCACTCTTCCCCCGAAAGATAAATTCGCAGTTGTCGAATTTATTAAGGATGATAATTCTGTATCTATTGTGTCTACAAATTGGTTCATTGACACATCAATAGTCCACTGGCCATCATCACCCAACGTCACATCTATGGTTAAAAAACACAAGGCACCGGAAGAAAATTGGGGTCGACATTCTTGCAAAATTTTGAAAGTTAAAGGTAACTAGATAAATCAATAATTAGTTCAAATATTTGTGCACATTACATAATTACTTTTTTGCTTATTCTAGATACTTTTGAGGATGCGATTATCGTACTTCGATTAGCCGAAAAGTCAAACCAGTCAACATTTGAAACTACTGTGGATGATGAGGAGAGTCATCTTCCTAGACGACGGAAGCGAAATAAGCCAAAGAAGAAGAAAAAATCGTCAACATCTTCATCGTCACCATGCAAGGATTCAGTAGACGGGAGTGATATCGAGGTTCCCACGAAATCATTTACTCTACCCCCCACTTCCAAATCAAAACCAGACGTACTAAATTATTCAAGTGATTCCGAGCACAACCAACCTCCTAGCGTTTGTGCTGGTAAATACTTAATATAAAATTCATATTTTTAATTGCCGGTTATTATTTTACTTATTTGGTGATACGTTTAATTTTATAATTTTAGTGGGTCCAAATAATAGCCCTATCACATCTGGCCCAAAATTAGTTCTGGTTGATCCTGTAGCACTGACTTCAAAACCTGATGAAAGTGATTCTTCTCGAAGTGTTAGCAATCTACCTGGATACAGTGGGACGGCAGTTGGCAGAAATATTACTCGTAAAAATTTAAACCCATTTAAACATTTTACATGTTTACACTTTTTGTACAATTTTATTGTGTAACTTGCATACATTTATACACAGAATTTGAGAAAATTGTCCTTGAACGGTTGACTAAATTGGACCAACTCGTCACAGAACTTCTACGACGATCTGGCGGAATTAACATATCAATTCCTTCAAAAATAAAACTGCACAAAATACCTGTGGAGACGGTGGACGAGTTTCAGTCACTCAATGCATGGATAAAGGCGGTGCCAGAGAATCGTGATTGTTTGGTTAGGGTTCAAAATTAAATAAATTATTAAATTATTTAAACCGAACGTCATATATTTATATATATTCACTTTTCAGGTCACCGAGTTGTCTTTAATGGGTGCAAATAGACTGTCTGGTGTCGTTAGCAAAATTTTAGGTAAGGTTTTTGCAAATAATCTTGCGAAAATCACTACTATTACCGGAGCAGGGAAAGATATTGAAGTTGCTTTAAAGGATGCGCCAATTTACCAAGTTATAAGAGGTAAAATAGACAAGTTCAAAACAAGTTAATACAGATTGAGGTGTATTTAAAGATTTGTTTACTTTAGAATCGGTGAGGTTAACTAAGGGCTACAGTTCATCGACGGACCACGAAATTGGAAATTCCGTTGCCGTTTGGTTGAAAGGTGCTGACGATAGAGACGGCGGACGAGAAGTGAGACGAAAAAATGCTCACGTCAAACCGAACAAAAAGAAGACGACGAAAGGAGGAAGTAACATCTCTTCTCCATAATATCGATTGTTCCACTGCATCAACAATTCCAATGTCCACATCGTATCTGACAGGCGAATCAGTGTTAGAATCTCCTATAGTTGGTTTTGGATCTAATAATTTAGAACAGTCACCGAGATCAGAGAGTAACAGTTTTAGCTTTACCAGTTCTGATAATCAAAATGACTCCCTCAATTTAGAGCAGCCAGTATTTTCTCAAAAGATTAGGGAATGGGCTTTGTCTCATAATATTACGCATGTCGCCTTAAAGGACCTTTTACATATATTAACTGAAAATTCCAACTTAGATGTACCCCTTGACCCTCGCACATTATTAGAAACTCCTCGAGTAGTTAAAACTCTTTTTATTTCTGGTGGGGAGTTTGTATACTTTGGAATAGAAAATAATTTGAGAAGATTAATTACAAATTTTGCTGAAATTGTGCAGCCAAAGTCGACAATATTTATCAAATTATTTCAAAGTTTTGGTGATAATCTGGTAACAATATGTGTAGGTGTTGATGGAGTTCCATTGAGCAGAAGCACAAGGTCACAATTTTGGCCAATACTTGGTAAAATTGATCAACTAAAAAATCATTCAGTTTTTGTAATAGGTCTTTTTTATGGCGTCCAAAAGCCGCTTAATTTAGATTTTCTAAATGATTTTGTAAACGAAGCAATAATATTAGAGAAAGATGGGCTAAATCATTTAGGTAAAAAATTTCATTTTAGAGTTTCAAGTATTATTGCGGATGCTCCAGCTAGGAGTTTTATTAAAGGAATTAAAAATCACAATAGTTATTCAGGGTGCGAGAAATGTGTTCAACATGGTGAATTTGGGAAAAGTGTGATTTATACAGAATTAGACTCAGCTTCTCGTACAGATGAATCATTTCGTACACAATTGCACGACGATCACCATAAATTTTTTACCCCTTTATCAAAATTAAAAATAGGTTTAGTGACACAGGTTCCCTACGATTATATGCACATGTGCTGCCTAGGTATCATGCGTAAGCTCCTTCGGCAATGGACTAAAGGGAAATTCCCCATAGGATGCAAAGTAAAATTATAAACCAAATTTCTGATAGATTTGCAAGTTTTAAAACTTTCATGCCACGTGATTTTCAGCGAAAACCACGAAGTCTAAATGAAGTAGACAATTTTAAGGCAACCGAGTTTAGGACAATCATGCTATACACAGGGCCTGTAGCACTAAAAAATATCCTTCCTACGGAGTATTATAATCATTTCCTCTATTTCCATTGTGCCATGTTCATTCTTTTGTCAGCCAATGCTGATGATCCTGAGTGGAATGCTTTAGCCAAACGATTGTTAGTAAGTTTTGTATCACAATCAAAAGTAGTTTATGACGTAAATTTTATGGTTTATAACGTACACGGATTGCTACATATTAATGAAGATGCTATAAACTTCGGGCGATTGGACAATATTAGTGCGTTTGACTTTGAAAATTTTATGCAGCAACTAAAGAAAATGACCAGGGCAAAAACGTTTTATCTACAACAGGTTGCAAAAAGAATAGTAGAAAATGAAAAATGTAACGGACTTAAAATAAATTTATCCGAAAAATGCGTTGATGATAAGACAAAATTATTACATAACGGTTACTCTTTGATCTCTGGTGAAATTATTATAGTTCGTAGAATTAAGCTAAATAAATGTAATAATATTAAAATAGTTGAATATGACACATTTATCAACAAAAATCCATTGTATGAAAAGCCTATAAATAGTTGTGTATTGGGAATTTTTGTTCTAGAAAATTCTATAAAGAAATCTTGTGAACTGAATTGTTTAGAAATTGCGCATAGATGCATTATGTTACCTTTTAAAGACAATTTTGTTTGTTTTCCACTCTTACATGATATTAAATAAATAAAGAATAAAATAAATTCTGAGTGCGAAATTGGAGTGTTTTGGAAATGATTGGGGAATGGTAGGGACAGTGGCAAGTGATCAGAAACATGTTGGGGGACTGGTGGCTCGCGGTTGGGAAAATTTTTACACACTGTCGGGCCGATAGTTTTTGGCCACCAACGGCCCATCTTCAAACGCGTGGCCAGGATCGTACCTCAGGCCAACGTCGCTGGCCACTCGAAAATATCCTGAGGCCCGATATTATTGGCGACTAGGGTAACTTCACTGGTGGCCAGATATTTATAATAAATGAAGATTTTGCTGACAGCTTACATAGCTACATATGTAGGTACACTCTTAATAATTTGGTAGAATCACGTGGGCAATCATCAATTTCAAGGTGTTGATTGTTATTGCCTTTGAGGCTCTAAGTCCCGAAACTTGATACACCGAGTTGGGATCACCGCATGATCGTCGCCACCGGCAAAAAAGATTGCAAATTTTTTTTCCTGTCCAACAATATTGCCGGCGGGGTATTGGGGATGTAAAAAAACTTTTGGCGATTGTTGACCTTAAGGTCAAGTGTGGGGGTCCGATTGAGCCATACATGGACATCGACCGGTGGCTGTTTTCTACCAAATTAAAAACACTGTAGGCATGGCCGTGCAAGCGGTTTTTGTGTCAAGGGAAAGTAATTATCGTAAAATTGTGAAAGTCACGTTGTTGTTACATAGTTACGGAAGCTGAGTGTAAGAAATACTTAAAATGGAAATGCAAAGCATGTAACACTCAAATATTTTTTTGACCTGTGCACTCTGATAGGACAACTTTGTAGAATCAAGATTTATTGAAACACTTGGGCTAGTTCGCAATATTTATGGGTCCATAGATCGCTGAATTTTGACCACTGGTCCGGGCGCTTGACCAGATGCTGATTCTATGTAAAAACTATCCTATAAAATTACACTGGTAAAAAAAATTGCCTGTTACATACAGGGTTGGCAGACCCATTGTTATTCTGGCGTCCTGGTATTAATGCTGTTATTATTTATAACCACAAAATTACTCCCCCCAAAATTCCACAAGCAACATGAAGATGAGTATGACAAATTTCAACGTTTTTATATCAAAAATGAAATCCTTTCACCTCGCTTAAAGGTTACCATATTTGCTTTAACTGTCAAGCATTACTTTGGTGGTTAAACAACAGTTGTTAGGCTAGTCACATCTTTTTTTCAGTTCATCAGTTATACTTACTTCACGCGACGATCTGTATTTTTTCGCGTGATAAAGCCAATGGACAAATTAGCTTCACAAAGATTGTTATACATGTATGGGACATTTATACATATAAATGTACAGATATATATATATAGTCGGATCGGCACCATTGTTGCGGCTAATCCTTAATAACTGAACATTAACACGATATCTTTTGCACTCAAAACCTAGGGGTCCGCCGAACACTAATTAAATTATTTGGGGTAACTACTAGGTACTGCTAGGTGTTATATTACTATTTCCCTCAACGGGAATTTATTCTTTCCAATCACACACACTTATCCTATTTTACATACTAACTTACTTGCTAACTAGCCTAACTAACTTAACTAATTTAACTATCTTGCTCCTCTCCTCCTCGTCTCCTCCACCTCTCCTCCTGATCTTTTCTCTTTCCTCTCTCACTGATCTCCAAAAGATCCTTATCTGAAGAGCTCATTTCCTTTTATAGGATTGACTTGGCCCACAGAACCAAGTCCATATTAAGATTCCCCAACTCGGGAAATCTCCAAATTGCTCTTCTACAAAAGTTGAAATCGATTTAGTTGAGCTGAACATGGATTTCTTAAGCAAATCCAAGAAAATGTTTCTTGAATACAGAATTGTGCATTTTATATTCGGAAGTCCGTTAAATCTGGAGGTTTGATAACTAATCGGGGTGCCCGATATTATTTACCAATGACTGATACCGATGCCATGCTGAACGACTATAGCCAAATTTATAGCTAACATATTTGGCTGCCCTCAGGAGGAGAACTGACGATCTTCGCAACGCCGGATTTTGAGGCCCTTTGGATAAGTTGTGAGGCCTGGTGAGGGTAGGAAGGTTAAGCCCCATGGGCCCTCTGACCCCCCCCCACTAGCCCCATTCGAACCTTCACCAAAAATCCGTTTTGATCGGATTTTCAAATTTATTGCACTATTATAGTCCCAGAGAGTTGCTTTATAGTGTCCAATAGCAATACCACCAATTTTTTTGAAATTTTTGATGTTTTAAATTTTTTTTAGACTGACCCCTGCTCAGAAAAATATCAAAAATGCAAAATTTCCAAAGTCCAATCTGGCGTTGCGAAGATCGTGCGTTCTCCTCCTCCGTATTCGTAAAATTATTCCAAGCAGTCATTATACTTTGGAACCGTTTTGAACGATCCAGAGCGCTAAGACTACCGTTGGGGTGAACGACCACTCCTAACAGGAATCATGCAGGGTATGACCAATTCGACTGGAAAGTTGTATTTCATTCAGGTGTCATTTGGCTGATTGGTATTCACATTTTCTTCAATCTTTAAGGATGCTGCGTACATGTATCTATGTAGACATCTACATATATTAGTGTCTCAATGGGCTTCGGGTTGGCCCGGACCGGACCGAAATCCGACGGTTCGGTCCCGGATTGGGCCATATGGCAATCCGGACCGAAAGTTTCGGTCCGGTCTTCGGTTCGGTTTCGGATCAAGTATTTCCGGACCGGTCCGGACCGCCGGTTTTCGGTTAAAAGTTAAAACTAAAAAAGAGTAAAATTTGATCACTCCGTCCACGGTACGGAGTGACCAAATAGCATATGTCCTAAGGACCAATTTGGTAGCCCTCACTATGGGCTTTCGAACGACACCAATATTGATGGGGGGTCATGGGGTCAAATTTTCGTAACCTCTGACCTATGATCTTAAAATCGCGTGACCTGAGAACTTTAAACGGCATTATCCGTCTAGTTGGAAATTCTCATGCAACTTCAAAAAATGCCAAAAAGTGTCGTCAGACCTGGATGGTCCCGAGTTTAAAACGATCCCATTTTCTTGCATACGGCCAATTTAGCCAGACCGATGCTCATTCTGTATATAAATGATACCCAGTCCCAGCGCAGCTCTGCTTGGTGACAACATTTTTTTGTATTCGTTATAACCTGTGTAGAAACATTCAAAGTCGCCTTTTGACCCCGAATATCTCTGAACTATTTTAATCCCTCTGGTGCCTGTAAGGGGCGAAAGACCCTCACAATCACCATGCAGATTTAAGACTTATTTTAGGTGTCATCAAAGTACGGTTAAATATTCATTTAAGAAATTTATAATTTCTAATAAATTCAATGTTATGTAATTTTTACAAACACTATTTTCCCGGTGATTAAAATTGATCAGTTTTTACTGCGCCCTAATAAGATCTTTACAAATTTTTGAAAGAAATTGACACTGTCTACCAAGTGTTTGTTGGATGTAAGTGGGAGAGTTTGTAATGCCGAAAGTAAAGAAGAAAGACATTTATATGTAAACCGGGTAATTTTGTGAAAACGTGGCAAAGTGACAAATTACTCTTTGTCACACTGATAGTTTCCATTAAATCATATCAGAATAGTCATGCTTTTCATGTTGAGATAAAAATTTATCAAAATAAAATATGTAATTAATTATCTAATTATCGTCCCTTACAGCTTCGAGGGATTAAGATTTCATTATTCTCTGGCTAAAAATTACGAGTTATTAGTTCTGTAAATGTTGGGGAATTTTCATGTAATCGATTCACCAATTCATATCGGGTCACCTTGTCTTCGCTCTGTCTAAATTTAATCCAACTTAAATTAACCTGAGTTTCATTTTATCCGCATAACGCAACCCTGACATCTTGCCAATGCCCAATAATAGAGCACAACTAAGGACACACATTCACTCTTTCATACCTACTAACCTAAATTTAGCAACAACCGTGCCCAAGGAAAAAGAGGTGCATATGTATGTACATATGTACATACATAAAGATTTCACTAAAGTTTAAATCATATCCTGCGACTCCCCGTTGAATATGCAAACGTCCCCGTTTCGTATTTATGAGGATGATTTAGGAGAAGGTACATAAATCTATTCCTCCTCCTTGAGATCAATGTGGAAGCAGGAGAAAGCAAATTGAGGTGGACGATGTGAAGAATATGGTCCACTCGTTTAGAAAACGAGCTTATTTTCTCCTGGTTAATAACGTGAATACCGTGATGCTACGAGTATAATCAGTAGTTTTGAACGGGCTTACTGGGTACAATTAGTCAAAAACTAATTGTGAACTTGAATCATAATATTCTTTAAAAATTGTAGCACAATTAATACATATATAAATACATATGTACCATTATATATGTGGATTAATTTATTACTTAGTTATTAATTAGTTATTTTATTATTGATTAAATTTATGCAATAAAATTATTAATTAATTTATTTATTTATTTAAGATATCAAGTACAGCATTATATGCACGTGTGAAAATATAAATAATAATACATCTATTTAAGTAGTTAGAAATCTTTGCCACAAAATTTAATTTGAAGTTGTTTATTTCTTTGTTGCTTAAAAATTTCCTTAATTGCATTTAACTTATTTAATGTATAGTTATTTTATTTCACTTTTTAACTCGGCGATGTTCTTGCAATAAACTTATGTGAATTTAAATAAATGCACAATTTTTCACAACTATTATTGCACGTAAATGTGTACATGGATAAAATAAAAACCAGGATGATCAGAATTTACATAATTACAGTAATACGTACATACTTACAAATAGGTATGAGAAGCATATATTATGATTTATGCCTATTAATGTGCAATGTGGATATACTTAAAAATGCATAAATTTTCAAAATCGGATTGAAATCGGATTTTTGGCAAGTGTCTGAATGAAGGCTAGATTAGCATTGTGTGCCCTTCTGAAGGGGTGTGGCCGGCGAAAATGGGGCCATCGAGTAAAATCCTTTACGTTTCCGTGACTCACCAAGTCGTACAACATATCCAAAAGGCATCAAAATCGGTGAGTCTGATGCAAAGGCGTTGTCCTCCTAAGTAAATATTTAGAAAATGTAGAAAGTTACACAATCTTGAGTATCTGTCATAGTATTCGAGGCTCGAGATGTATGTTTGATGAGGTGCTTCGCAAAATAAGAGTATGCAAATCTCGTGAGGTAAAGAAAACAATTTTTGTTTAGTTTCCATGGATTTTTGTGGTTGGTATGACTGTTCTTTAAGGACGAATTTTTTTAGATAAGTACATATGTATGTACATACATACGTACATACATAATTTTCTTAGGAAATAAAAAAACGTGCCTTTAGTCGGAGCTGGGCAATCGAGTTTTAATTGAAGTAAAGTGATTTGCATGACAATGGATAGGTTGGCGCAACTAAGGACGAACGAAAAGAAACTGCATGTTTGTAACTTTATGAAGAGGACCATGTCCGCGAAGGTAAATTGTAACATTTTTACAGAACAGATGAAAACAATTTAAAAATTTATTACTGTTTTTTTAATTGTAAATGAACGAACAACTTTAAGGTGATCTGTCATAAATATAAACCCCCATTTCGGATACTTACAGAGGGTGATCGCTCTGAGTGAGAGTGACTTTGGGTGATCGCCCCGCGCGCGCGCGCCAAACCATTGTTTTGATTTCGACATAGTGTGACGAACACCCATCCGACATTACAATTCCTAAGTTGAAATTTTATTTTTTTCACAATGGGGAGAAAGGTGGATCCGTATGTCGAACAACGAGTGAAAGTGCTTTCCAATCGTGGAATGACCTACAAACGGGTCAGAAAGGTCATGAAAAGCGAAGGTTTCACAGTGAGCGATTGTGCAATCCATCGTATTCGCAAATGCAAAGGCATTCATCGAAGAGCGCAAGCTTTTGGGCTGGTTACACCCCCTCCTAAACGAACACCAGTGAAAGTGAAAAAACGTGACCTAGAAAAACTTAAAAAAATGACCTCTGAAGAAAATCCTCCGTCCCAACGAGCAATGGCAAGTAGATTAGCAATATCACAGTCTCATATTAACAAACTTATTAGGACAAAATTGGGCAAAACAATCCGAAAAAAAACCAAAGTTCATGTGTTAACTGAAAGGCACAAAAAAATCGAACCATCAATGCTCGAAAGCTGTATGAGAAGCAATTGGCCGGTTCTCGATCCGATTTCGTCGTTACCTTGGACGAGGCATTCTTCTCTGTCGATGATTGCAGCCGGGCACGCTCAATTTACTACACGGACGAAAATTGGGCCACCCAAAACTATGTGAAAGTTCGCAGCGAAAGCTTTGGGTCCAAATTCATGGTTGTCGGAGCAATAGGTGGTCGAGGAACCCTTGCACTTATCAAAGTCCCCCCTAAAGTCAAAATCAACGCAGACTGGTATATCACCCACGTTTTGAAACCAATTTTGGAAATCCATATTCCACACAAGTACGGCAAGGACACCGCCAAAGTTTTCGTACATCATGATGCCGCAACATCGCACACGTCCAACAAAACAGAGCAGTACACAGACGATATAAGGAGGAGACTAGGGATAACCGTCATCCGGAAAAGTGATATCCCTATCAAATCACCTGACATTAGCCCCATGGACTTCTTTGGGTTTGGCTACCTGAAACAAAGACTTTTTCACCGCAAAGCTAGGACCTTGGATGGACTTTGGAAAGTCGTGAAGGATGAGTGGTCCAAACTTCAGCCTGAAAAGTGTGCTGAAGTGTTTTCTGCATGGAAGCGCCGCCTACGGACCTGTGCAAAGATGCATGGAGCCCATATTGAACAAACAAAAACAATTCATCGTCGCCGCATTTAAGGTCAGCAGGTCACCCAAAGTCACTCTCACTCAGAGCGATCACCCTGTAGATAGATTTCATTTCGAATATCTAACTAGAAATTCGCATAAATTCAAATCAACAAATATGTATATATTCGTCAGATAAAATTTGCAAAAAATTAAAATAGCGATAAGTTTGTAGAAATTTATTTCAAAACCATTACATAGTTCTCACATACGTATTTACATATGTACATATATACATATGTAAATTTCAAGTTTAGCATCGAACGAAATTTTGAGTATTAAAATTTGAAAACCAATTTTCGGGCTGTCCATTTTTCAAAACCAGGTTGATTACAACTAATATAAAACCGGTTTTCGGTAAAATCGGAAAACCCTTTCGCTAACGATTTTCTGTATGCGCCGGAAACAACACTTTCCCACAAGTTTTACATATTTATGTTTGCAAATTTATATCTGGAGTGAACCAAAAAACGGCCGAATCGCACTCGGTATGCATATTTACATTATGTTAGTTCGTATGTATGTATGTATGTAGGATTAGTTAACCACATAAACAAAGTCTACCTCCCCACACTATGTATGCAGACCGATGCAACAGATTTCTTTCCCCCGACCGACCCAGGGGATGATCATGGACTGCAATAATTTCAACTTCTTCAGCATTGTTTGCCACTTTTGTCAAAGGAGATTTTATAACAGACTGAAACATTTCTTCGTGTCTATACCGCAAACAAAATGAGTGTGCGACCCCTATTTTGCGTAGCATGTACATAAATGTGTGGTGACATTTTTTTCTCCTTCTTTGGAAACGCTGATGAGATGCAAATGTACAGATTTACAACGTGTTAAGATGCTGCCCCACCCAGTTTTGTTTTTGTGCAGTTTATAACATGACTCATTCACAATAATTAGACCACCGCTTCAACTCCTTCATTACTAAAGAGCCCTGCAGAAAATTATAACGCCAACAAATGGCAAAATTGTCGGGAAATTGGAAACCACGAATCTTGTGGACAGGTTTCTAAGAGGGTTAAATTGTCATTAATAAGTGGATACATAATACAATACAGGAACAAATCATCCCAATGTACAGATGTACATATGTACATACGTGTGTGATTAAATTGTACAAAAAATTCATTTTAAATTTACTCCGGTTTTTATTGTACATACGTATGTACGATCTACAAAAATTACTTTTTGATAAATAAATCCCAGCCTACGTAAAATCAACTTGAATATAATGGATTAACAGTGGTCCTAATTGTGCTCAATATTTTAGTAACGGTAAGTAAATTTAAGTGAAAATTATGCTAGATTTGTAATTTGTCCCGCAAATGAATAAACAACTTTTAATATTATTTACTAATTGCAATCAATTTACGTTAAAATTCTGAAAGTTTGTCAAGGGTTGGAATGAATAAGCAGACTTTTTCGATTTTAGAATTCACATTCTTTTACAAAACTTATAAAATGTGGGGCTTTAGTTTGTACAATTTTCTTCGTGGCAGCCTTATGAATTTTAACAATTTGGGATTTCTTAAATAGATTGACCTTAAAATGTGTGTTCACTTGAGGCTGTTTTACCTAATCGATCCCTGGGGTTTTTTGCGTAATACGAAGTACGGCCCTTACGTAAGGGAGTCTTTGCTTCCCACTCCTCCGGCACGTCGTGTAACATCTTGTCAACTAAATTATCCGATGTGACCTGCCAGGTAATTATCTTCGTGATTTTTATTGGCAATTTAGACTCTATTCATGGGCTGTGCATAGGTCAGAAATTACAACGGTCCGTAATATCGACCTATTTATGTTATTGGTTGTAAACATGTACATAAGTCCTGTACTAAAAAAAATATAATTACCAAATTTGCAACGCCTCCAGTCAAAATGGAGAACCTTTGCAGTACGCTAATGTACATACATATTTAATACAGGGGTGCTAGTTAAAGTTTGAAAGAGTTTGACCCGTGATAAAAACGCTCTAATTAAAAATTGTCAATCGAAACTTTGCTAAAGTGTGTATTAATTTTTCGAAGAGAGGTTATAAAGTTTTGAAAATTTTTCGATTAAAAATGTCACCCCCACTGACCGTATTTATGGAGCATCTAATAAAAGTACGCCTGAGAAGGAAATTTTCGTTTGATAATTTTCAATTTGCGCGTTTTTTAAATTCTCTTCTAAATTTTTACCAGCACCCCTATGTTCATTTATATAAATACGTAGTTTAATAATCAAAGTACATATTTATGTGCATGTATGTATGAATTTATGTTTCACCAAATCCTAATCTTTTTCATCTCACAGATTTATTGGGACCTAAACATCCCTCCCTGGATACAAATATGCACCCCGTCCGTAATAAGTATACAGACTTCAAAATAAAGTAAATGATAATGTATCCAAATTTCGTCGCCTCATTCGCGAAACCACTACTTGTGGATGCTTTTCTGTCAAGATTTACTAAACCCGAGGCATTTAAACTTTGTCAAGTTCTTGCAAAAAGTAACTCGTTATCTTTTGTTTTTACCTAAATAGATTTAATCATCATGATAATGCTAATAATACGTACGTTAGTGTGTACATACATTAGTAAGTATTTTGCAATACAAAAATTAAGTTAGATTTATATACATATGTACATATACATACGTGCTACATGTTAGTTCGAATCGAAGTCTTGGATTTTCAATTGGTACATAGATTTGATACATTTAGTAAATTATATTCATTAAATTCACGAATGTCATATTCTTAATGATTAATACATATTTGCTATAATAATAATGAAATCATAAATTGCTTATCTATGTGGGACAATTTTTTTAAACTTTGATCCACAAAATCAATTTAACAAAATTTAAATATATGTTAAAATTTGTACCACCAAAATTATACTGGGTCTTGGTCTTAATATAAATATTACAAATACATTCATAATAGCTCAATTCAAATATTGTTCCTTTTTTCTTCTTTTCAGTACTCAACCAGACAAGAACGTCTCAGGAAATATGTATATGCCAGGCTACCTGACAAACGTGGAATACTACAAATTTCATCGCTACAACTTTCTCCGAAACATTAGTTCTAATGGAGAAACATATCCCAAACTAAACACATACGTATTTGTCTTGCACACAACTGGGTATGTAGTCTTCGTTCGACGTATCGAAGTTAATTATTTGTTATGTCTTAAATTAATCCAAACCTGAATTATTCTATGAGTTATTCTATGAATTATTCTCCATAACGAGAGGCCAAATCACCAGAAGAGCCAAATTGTGCTCGTATACTAGAGATAAACTCCCCCAGTCCTCCAACCGACTGCTCCAAGCCACAAACTCTGCCCAAAGGCAGCGATGAACAGGGAGAGTCGCCCGCCGCCGTCAGCAACGTTGCCACCGAAAAGGTCGCTAATATAAGAAAACAAAATATTTCTTTAAAAGTTTACCAATAACGTATATAATAATGCATGCTAATTGGAAGGCAGGAACTTATTACTATATCCCCCCATCGACTAAAATTTTGCGAACGGTCCAAGGCATATAATACCAATTAAAATGGTGAATATAAATATCCCAAGTTTACTTTACGTACAAATCGTATTCTTCGGGATTTATGACCAGACCACGACTTACGACTATTAATATTTTGCGGAATCGTGTTAAAAGACCTTCTGGCATCCACACAATTTCGGCAAAGCCAGACCTGCTTTCGTCACTGAGTAATCTTCTTGTAGTATTTCCGTCATTCTTATTTCCTCCTCTGGCTGATAACCGCGGAGGCCAAATTTGTTTAAAATGTCATGTTGGATTTTATTTTTATTCGTTGCAAAAATATCCTTGTTCGTAAGCACATTCCATTTTCCTAGCCCCTTGATATTCCGGTATTTAATATATTGAGGAGCATTTCTAACACTCTAATCCACGCAAGCAATGGGCTTCAGCCATGCACTAGGGCTGCAGGATTTATCCTGTTCTCGAAGTTGGAGGTATCATTAATTTTTGACGGGGTGACACCCCAAATCCCACAGTGTTGATGTGATTTGGATCTCATTAAGATTGAAAAAACTTTTCCATCAATTATAGTAAGCCGGCAAGAGTGTTAGATTTTTATTTATTTGGTTGCCTCCATTGGTTATTAGCCTTACATTGACAACCTTTATAATTTCTGCTTCTAGTTCTGCTCCTGCTTCATGTATTAAGGCTGGAATATCGTTAGGAAACTGCAACCACACTGGCCCGCAGTAGCGGGTCGAGTTAGGCGTTGAATTCTGCCATATTGGAAGACATTCAGGCCCTTGCAACTCTAATCGGATCACAGTTGTTGCGATATGACCATCCTCATGCTCGTTGGTAGTAAATCCTCACGATGACACAAGTGTTAGTTCTAGCTCGTTTACACCCTCGGATTGGCAAATGAGGTCTATAAAATCTTCCTTATCTCGAATTATTCTCACTGCTATATCGGTCTTGTATATCGGTCTGGAATATATGAGTCGGCAGCCGGTTTCTGTTGATTTGGGTTTAGGATCTAGACGGCATAATTTCTTGGCTGATTCTACTTGGTTGTAGGCCCACAATCTTTCCGTTCCCGAAAACCCACGGGCAGTTGGATACTGGGAGACAGATATAACAGCATCTAACAGAAACTCCAGAGCTTCTTCCGGTTACCGCATCCCGTGAATGGGACAAACATAGTTTCAGCAGCAATGCAGTTTTCTGTACTATACATATAAATATTTTCCTTTGTTCAATCGGGATTCCGTACATTTTTTTGATAGAATCCTGAATTTAGATTTGCGGTGAGGAGGATATTATTACAAGAATGCATCGCTAATATGCTATACTTACGAATTCAAGAATTGAAGAATAATCATGTTGCTCAAGGTACTTGCAATTATTGATTAAATTTTAAGTTAAGTTGGACAGCGTATTGATTTACTTGGTGATTAATACTTGATGAGACAGATTGCTTAACATTCCAGTCTTCCTGCAACCAAGCGAGGTTCGCCAAATACAGGTTATTAATGTTATTACAGCTTTGCAAGCTCTGTTTAACTTGGGAATTTCCAACTGTAGTTTCGGTTTGATTCCTTCATGATTAAAATAAATTCACCACGAAATAAATAAGCATTTAAATATATACTCACATCATATAATAGTATAGTATATATTACATTCCGATATACCTAAAGATCAATTATATCTCTAAATAACTCTAGCCTCTTGTTGTAAAAGAGTGACATTCAAAGTTTAATGCAGAATTGTTCAAAAAGATGGGTGGTGTAATTACGTTATATCATGATAATAAAGAAACCAAATCTGCATCACCTCATTCCTTTCCTACTTGTTTCAATAGCTTGGTTTGTGTTGTCCCAAAATTGGATGCTTTGGACGATGGCTAAGGGTACTGCTCCTCCAATATTGTTTATGTTACGTTGATTGAGGATGAGAACAACTTACGACTTAGCCAGTACCAAACACTTATGGACGGATGCTTCATGTTAGATTTCGGGTACTCATCTCTATCAAGGTCTGCATTCAGGTTGCCTATGATCTTTCAATTCTCCTCCGTTCCACGACTTAATGAGTTTCTCTAGGTAATTTTGCCCAGAATTCTGTAAGTAAAGGCAAGGTGCAATAAAAATGATCTATGTTAAGTCTAAGTTATCTCCAAGACCACAACCTTTTATATAATGTTTTTCCATTAATAATAATATAATACCAATATTAATAATATTTGGGTAAATGAATTCAAGGTCCCAGACTCATACGTAGGGAACTACCGGTAATTCATTCCTTGAGTTGGTCACCTGATGTACCGTTGTACAGGCACCTACGTAATCATAAAGTGTTGGCTTGCCAACACTTTATGATTACTTTTACCTGTATGAGCTCGGGGTGCAGTACAGTCAGTGATGAGGTCACCATTTTCACCTCCCTTTAGAATCACAGTAACTGAATCCTTGAAATCTTCCGAATACTTTTGAAATTCCTTTGTCATTCTTGTAGGAGCTTCTTCGCACTTTAGAATAATAGCTAGTTAGTCAGGAATTTCGTCCATGAAACGACTGACTACCTCGTGCTATTGATTTATCTGTAGCACTACCTGATATCTTTTTCATGCATACGTAATTGACACCATTCAAGAGTTCGTTACCTGTTAATGAAAGTTAATATAAGTTCATAGCGAAATTAAGTGGTTGCTATGGAGATTTTGAAGGATTTTTTGTAGTTTATATTAAACTGAAATGGTTGTTTGCTATGCAAAATTCTAAGGTGTTTTAAAAATTATACATAATAATTCAGGAATGTAGATTAGATATTTCAATGATGCAAGACTACTCCCTCCAACCAATTCCTGTAATGGACGACAATTAACATTGCCAGGTTTTCGCTGTGTTCTTCTTGGTCAAATTATCCCACCCTCAATTTCTCGCTCATAATGAAAAAAAATTAGATATACGGATGCAGATAAAAATTTGAATATACAAAATGGAGTATATTACCTTCGGCGTTCTTTCGTAGGCGTCATCGGTTTTAATGAAAACTTTTTAGTTAATACAATGTTGTTGCACAATTTTAAATATATATGAGTTTTGAATCGTTTTTGGAAGGGTTTTTTAAGTTTTTTTATAACTATTATTGAATAAGCACTTTTTTCAGTCTCAAGTTCATTTCCAGTGTAAGAAGTAAATAAGAGACCCATCGCTTCACTTTTCCAATCAGGCGTTATTTGTTATTACACACTTGATATGATAGTGTTTCGAGTACATATTTACACGCCTACATTTATGAATACATACATATGTATATGAATACACGCAATATACATAAATGAACACATGGATAAATACATATACATATGGCATACATAAACGCATGCATATGTACATTCATAAACTCATACATTCATGCACATGAGATTGGGGCCTGTGTGTGGTGGCTCTCTGTGGTACATAGCTCACAATCTTATGGACAACCATTCATCCCTAACTCGATCGAACGAGAGATGGACGGACACGTCATCTACTCCCACAATAATGAGAGAGAGATAAACATGTTATGAATTTATGACCTTTTTTAATGGAAAATGATCTCCATGTTTTCATGAGAAAAATAATGATGCTATGTGAGCCGGAACAATGAGACACTCCTTCCACCACCGCGCGGTGGTGGCGGACCTGAACTTTGAGCAGCAGGTCACTAGACTCTTCTGTAAGTGAGAGTCTAGTTACAACTAGACAAGACTTTGCTGTTAAGTAAAGTAATTTTGATTGAATACAAACTCCAATTAAATATTTGAAATCAGTCAGTTTTGATTGGTTAGAGTCCATGGAAACCGTGATTTACGACCCCACTTAAGTTTTTAAGTCAAGTTTCTTATGGCACGCTATCATTCATTAGGATTGCGAGTTATGATGAGGCTTATCCTGCCTAGGGACCTAGGAACCTAGATAAACTTCGCGGCCGTAATAAACATAGTTAACTATTAGTTTGTTATTTTGCAATAATTATTTTCTGAATGTAATGCTAATTAAATGAAAAGCGTTTACATAGTTGTGAAAAAATACGGTTATCATCTACAATTATTTATGACCCATAATGTATGTAAATATATATTTTTATTTATAACAATTATTAACTTAGAAAAATTAAACACCGGATTTTTCTTTAATAAAAACACAGCTACATATGATCAGATATTTAACTAACAACGCAGACATTTTCCTTTATTTGGTAATTATGTACATAACTGACTATGTATAATTAATGAATTGCTAACGTGTAAACGAGTTTGGTCTGAAATTTCTCCGGAACGGTTTGGAGTGAAGATGTCGGATATTTTCAATATGAGACAGTGGCGGATGTAGCCCCACCGGGGCCCCTAGGTGAAATTTTTTGAATCTATTAAATAAGTATGTACATATTCACAGCATATATACAGCAAAACTGCGGGGTCGGGGAATCCGAAAATATTACTAGGCTATCACATCGCGTTGTCAGGCTATAGAGTAAAACGTTGGAAATGGAAAAATCAGGTTACACAGTGGAGCCTATTTTCTGACGTGCATCACCTAAAATCGCCATATTTTGAGTGAGAATCTGATGTATTTATCCAGTTTCGACTCCCGTTGTAATAAATTGTAAAATAACACAACACTCCTTATGTGTAAAACATGCATTTGTCCTTCGAAATAAGATAAAAAATATAATTTATTAGATACACGTCCAAAAAATGTACGATTAACACCCATAGCTCGCAGTTTTTCTATGAACGGCCCGTGGTCCATAATGTTAAATAAATGATGGACCACGGGCCGTTCATAGACAAACTGCGAGCTATGTTAACACCTCACTTCGTTTCGAAATTATGACAATATTTTCCCCTATTTTAACTGAAAATTGAATAGTACACAAATTCATACAATTTTCGGTCTCCATATTCTTTTGAAAAAATTATAAAATTCCGAATTTTAGCTGAATGTTTATGCAAAATGCTCACTTTCTTTTCTACAGCCCTGCCTTACGTATGCATGTACATACATATGTACATATGTATGTATGTATGTATGTATGTATCTCATTGGTAATGAAAGTTTGTCGGAAAGGTTTGTCATATCGTGTGTAATATCTCCTTACACACGATACGAGAAACCTTTCCGTAAAATTTTCCTCGTTGTTGGGATAAGTGGATAGTCAAAATTAGTTGTTTACCCCTGAACAGCAGCATTATTACATTATCATCTACTCCTCTGTTATCTTCCTCAGAATGGAATTGATTCCCGAAACGAAGTACGGGAACTGGAAATTCCACCCAAAGTACATATGTTTGTATGTATATACATACACGCTAAATAAATTTGATTAAAATTTACCCAAGTTTGATCACATTTTACCCAACTGTTGAGGCCGAAATGAGATGACACAACTGTTGTGTAAAAATTTCACTCAGGGGTTGAGTAATCCAATTGATCAAAAGTTGAGTAAAATTAACCCAACTAAATCGCGATACGAAAATATGGGTTGACAAGATTTTATACATTAGTTGAGTAAAATTTCACTTTTATTAAGTGAATTTTGCTGAATTATTTGGTAAATTCTGATCAATTATTGAGTAATTTTTTTCCAACAATTTGATAAATTGTGCACAATAAATGGTTGGAATTTAATAATTATTTCAGAGATGATGTTGTTTACCTTTAATAAAAAGTATTGTTTTTATTCATATAAGTCATATTTTAAAATTATTACATAATTATTTTGTACCAAGTTTAACAACTAGAACATGATTAGTACTTAATTTATAAGTCAGGTAGTTGCATATTAATAACTTAATCTATAGTTATTTGAGATCCAAGTGAAAGAACTGCCGAGGGGGGTGAACGAATTTCTTTAGTTTGATAAATCGAGTGATCGAAGAAGCACCAGACTGGGTAACATTCATCAGGGAATTGAAGTTGAAGCACATGAAACATTTTGAAACAGATATCCACAGCATTAATTAGCGACGACGCTTTCACAAGTTTCCTCTCCACCATAACGTAGGAGTCATGTATTATAAGGGATCCCAATTCTCCGACACACAGAACAAAGGGTTGTTTTCGTCTTGACTCAATTGTCCTAAAATTTTCAATGTCATGTGTTACCTAAATAAACATAACACCGTTGAATTACCAATTATTATTACCTAACAAATCAATAAAATAAATTAGCTAACCGGTACAACTTGTATGAAAAATTCAGCTGACTCTCCCGATGTTATTTTCTTCCTCTTTTTGGATTTCTTTGAATAGGCTGAGCTAGCAGTCAAATATGGCAGTAACACAAGCGCCCCAACCGTCTTGTCATCTTCGTGTAAATAAGTCAATATTAAAAACATTTACAAATCTCAAATTCACAACTAAAATTAGATGATTAACTTTATATTTCTTAATTATTAATTTCTAACCTTTAGACCAATTCGACAAAGGTTTTTTTATGCCGATTTCGTCCAAGTTGGTTTTGATTTTCTCGGCGTAACTGCAGATTTGTACTGAAACTGCTGCCCACTTCAGAAGCATCTTATCACATTTGCCAGGAAATAAAGTCTTGAAGTCCAGCTCAATCTTTGCATAAAGTTATAAGGTGTTCGATAGTTTTTATCAAATTTAAATTTAGTCCGCTTAGAAAGTTGTGACGTTACCATTTCTGGAGTGTCGAGAAGCCTTGGCCATTGGTCCAACATTTCCGCTAAATTATTCGTGTTCCTGAATTGGGATGTTCTCAAGCAGTAGGTCTCAGACATGTATTTAGTGACCTGAGATATGGGGACGGTAGAGTTGAGAAGCCAAGACTTTTTCTCCTGTTCGTCTACAGTTGGATCTGATAAATTCACAAAATTAGTAATTTTTCCCGGAATTTTAAATAATTGTCATGCATAATATGCCTACCCAAAACTTGGCACGATTCCACATTAGGCGGTTGGACTCGACACTTCACTTCATTCTTTCGACGAATATATTTCAATCTGTCCTCAATCAAACCGGATGCTGGAATTCTTCTGTAAATAATTCCATCTGAGCCTTCTCTCTTGGAGTTTGATAACTTCGACTCACTGTAGAATAAATTCTGAAATTGAAGCAAAAAATCTGAATTCAGTGGAAAATATTTTAAATATTTTAAAGTGTTGACATTTTTCTTACAATTATATCCAATTTTTGAGAGTCTGGGAGCGAAGGAAACAATTGAACTGCAATGCATTGGGCCAAATTTTCTTTCACGTACTTAGGCGGGCTAAAATTAATCAAAAATTAGTACAACTTATTACTTTGTAAAACATATAAGGTAACGCATAGTTTTGTGAATGATAATTAAGTATTAATTACTAATATGAGTATTGCTTAACAAGATGATTCACGGTCCGTCGTTTTATCAGATTTTTAAGGGCAAAGTTGATCACATTTGTTTCAACGCAATCATCTAAAAGTTTCCTTCCTTTGGTTGTTCCTTTATCAGCGTCAGATGTAAGAATAATCCGCTTAACGTCCTGCTTGACAGAAATAATTTCATTAAAAAGGATAGATTATATCTTACAACTAAACTTACAAATAAGGGATCCGCGACGTTGCAATCTGGAGAAACCGGAATATTTTGTAATTCATCCACAAATATGTTTTCCTCTTGGCGAGGTGGCGTAGCGGTGGGCGGAGTTACCTAGAAGTCATTAATATTTTTAAACAGTTAGCACTTAACCAAACAAATAAAGTTATGTTAACAAATTTACGAACCACTAAGTACTGAACAATATTATCCTCCTGGCTTGACTGGTCACCGTCGGAAATCTGTTGCACGCTGGACGTCACAGATTTCGAATTGGTTCGCTATATAATTAATTATTGAGAGCATCACGATAAAGAAGGGAATTATTATTATAAGCTTATAACTAAATTAACTCAATAGGACAACAAATATTATCCACCGAATCACACTCATCGAACGACCTTACCACTACCACTGGATTTTGAAGGTCAAGTTGTAAGGGGTCAAGTATTTCAGCCTTGTCTTTTTTTCCTACTTTGAAAATGTATGAATATTGAAATTTTTCAACATATTGAATACGAGCAACGGCTAATTTTACACTCTCATCATGAACAAAACACAAAATCACCTGACAAAATTGCAGCCCCGACTCAGAACTTCCAATAAGAAAATAGTTTAGTGGAGAAATCTTTGTACCATTTATTTGAACAAAATCAAGGCAAAATATTTTATTACACTGAGCTGACGATATGGTGGAAAAATCTACATCATCTTTGATGTCCCTAATGTCAAATGTATTGCCGGGTCCAATACTAAGTTGAACTTTTGGCTCAATGTTAATGGAACCAAGTGAAAACGCCATATTTAGGGACATTCGCCTTGCGACACTTTTGGAAATATTCTTGAAGTTGCACGAGTTTTTACCAACCGTTTTAGCAAATCTGTGCTTGGCTTCGAATCTCATACACCAGTAATTTCTGAGTGGGCCTAACTGATTAATTGCGTTTGGATAATGCAATAAGTGATGAAATTTTGGAGTTAAATTATTCCCCGTTAAATCAATATACATCTGATGATGCTCTGCTATTAAGAACTGAAGAAGAACTATTAAGAACAATAATTTTGATCGTGTTATGACTGGAGCCATCACGATGCGTATTATTCTCCGAAATTTAAGTATTAAGTTCCAATATTTATCGTCGGATGGAATTCGGTCACCAAAAACTGCAGGAAAGACGAGAAAGAAATTACTCATTTCTGACGCAGAAAAACAAGACTTTTTGTCGCCGTCAATAATATTTGAGCCTATTTCGGGAAATTTTGTTAAATGATGACCATTTCTCTTCAAGCAACATGACAATCTATGATTAATTTCAACTAGCGAAAAATAATTATTCTGTAAAATATGTTCGAGGACCAGCTTTAATTCAATTATACAAATTCCTTCAAATATGTCGTGCATAATATCGGGGGCAAAGTTAGAAGTAACGTGAAATCCAGCAATCTGATTAATTATGGATAGTTCTTTTATGCCAGTGAGACTAACGTTTTGAACCTCAACATCTTCAGAGTATCCCAATCTATTTCGAATCAACTCTTTTCGCTCCTCCACATCAACGTAGCTCTGTGATTTGGTTGCTTTGCAAAAACGGCAGCGGAAATTGGCGTTGAAACTTTCAGAAAATCCAAGGATTGCATGAAGCGCTAGATTATCACCACAAACTTGAAGTAATTGGACATTGCTAAAGGGTGAGTTTTCAAATTCCTCGGATTTAGGCATACTTTTGTTTAATTTATTAAGCTCATTTACAATTGGTGCAAGAATGGAATTCATCCCATATGATTTTATATATTTGGATTTAACAATTAATAGTGGGAATATTGCGGAAAGCTGTTACTTTAAATGAGGAGCAAAATTCGAAATTATGAAGTAAAACATTCCTAATTTGTGGATTTTAGCTTTTGCACCCAATGGATTGCAGATTTCAATATCGTCATAGTAAATTTGGATAAAAAGAGGATTTCCTGTAAAACTACTGACAAATTCCCCTGACTGATAATCCCGTATAATATTTTTATCCTGATTCAGACGTCCTCCGGCATCAGTGACCTCTCTATATTTTTTAAGGGCTACGGGAAGAATATCAGATATCCGGAAGTAGTACATATTGTCAAATTTCTCACGCATCGCTCCTACTGAATTGTCGAATTTGAAATGCGAACCAAGTCGTAGTTCCTGTGCTTCTATAAATATTTTTGTTTTCTCTAAATATTTTTCAATTTGATATTGAGATGAAGTTTGTTTCGGAAATGGTTCCTTTAAAGAGTTTAATTTGATAATAATTTCATCGTGGGAAAGATTTGGTTGTAGGAAAGTCTTAGCAATATCAACAATGCTATTAACCAAAGAATTTGCAGCACAAAGAATTTCCCCAGATTTTACTAGGGGAATTGATCCAGACATTTGAAGTGACCTCATAAATGACAATTTATAATCATTTGTCACTTCATTAATTATTTTGGCAGAATAATCATGACTAAAAAAACTTTCTTGAGACAAAATATTCTCATCATTAAGGTTATTTGTTATTTTTGGAAAACTAAATTGTGAAAGTAATTTTGGGCATATTTTGGCTTGCACGTGTTTTCTAAGATTGTTAATATTTGTGAAGGTCATTAAACACAAGGGACAATCTATTCTGGCTGAAGGCCCTGTTATCTCTTGAAAATCCCTGATATGATTCCAAAAAGATTTGAAAGAATTTAAGGAACGATGACACAAGCTACATATATACACATTTTCTTCCTTAACTACACTAACCTTCCTAATTGCACCAATTATTTTTAGTCTGTTTCCTATTGACGGGACCAGCGTGGCAAACAGATGTTCCTCAAGTGAACCAGCAGGGCAGTCGGGAATTTGACGAAGAAGTTCGTCGTCAAAATCATTATCTAAAATTGGAAAAATAAATAATTATAATAATGACCAAGCATTGCACGATTTTTTAATAGTTCGGATGACATAAATAGTACAACACCTATATTTTTCACCAAATATATAATCTTAGCTTTAAAAGTTTCCAATAATACTTCCAGTCCAACTGTCTGGAGAATTGATTCCAAAAATTTCGTCATTTCTAGAAATTTTTAACTAATTTGCAGGAACAAAAATCTCCACCTAACTAGAGCGGCGAGGTGGCAAGAAGAACTGAAGAATTTTTGTGCTCGCGGGAAGCGTCATCCAAGACCACACAACTGGTTTGTTAATTTTGATACAAGTGTTGAGTAAAATTTCCTCAACTTATGTATAAAATTTATTCTTTATTGTAGCGAGTTTTTCAACTTTTACGTTGGTTTATTTGTTGCAATTATTTGTAAAAAAAACTAACCAATAATTGAGTAAAAATTAGTCATACATGTAGAAAACCGATTTTTCACAAGTAATGACTACAAAATTTACAACGTTGGGTAAAGATCAATTTATACAACTCCGTTGATTAGTTTTTAGTCTTAGGTTGGAATAATTTGTACCAATGTTGTAGAAAAATTAACCAATTCCACTTTACTCAACCGGTTGTACACAACTTTATTTAGCGTGTGTATACATATGTATGTACATACATATGGATTTGTAACCAAGTATTTGCTGTGCAGAATTTCAAAATTTGAGTAGTAGCTGGTTAAATATGTTTCATCATAACTGATAATGTGTAAAATATCCATAAAAAATATGTTCCAAAACGTTCAAATGCATATTTTTGCATGAAATTCTAAAATTTCGATTTTAACCGTTTCCCGTTTCGTTTCCGTTTCGTTTCCGTTTCGTTTCCACTTGTGATCCGAAACGAAACGGAAACGAAACGACATCTCGCGTTTCAAAAATTTGAGAAACGGAAACGTAACGGAAACGCGTTTCGTTTCCGTTTCTAATCCGAAACGGTGCGAGCACTAGTGTACATAGATGGGATTTTGTCGTTTTTATATTGCTTATTTTATTGATTGAATGAATAACTTGATATTAAATATGGAAATAGCTTAATTATGTACATATGCGTGTATGTAATGGGAGCGACTAATCATAGACTGAATTTTTATAATTTTAGGAAACTTAAATTGTTATTTTTATGAGAGAGAAGAGTGAGAAAGAGAAAACTTGTCGTGTTCAGCAGACAGAGGCGTAGCCAGGATTGTGGTCTGGGGGGGGCTGACGGCAAAAAATTTAGAAATTAACATAAACGAGTCATAATTTTTTGTGTAGGTTATAGCAAATTAATTGCTGTGGTTTATTGCAAAATTTACTAAACACTTACAGCTAATATGCTAAATTATTTGATATTGTAACACTACATATGTCTGTACTAAGTACCTCATGTTAAAATTATTAAACAAGTTTTTGTGCATTAACATCTAACAAGTAAGCGCATAAAATATTATCACTGCAATTCAATACAGATTTAGTCTAAGACAACATCCAGCGGCGTTTAATCGTAACAAACTGTTCGATTACTAAATTCACGTCCACAGTGTAATTGCGATGAATATAAAGAACGCCCAAACTTGTTAATCGATCTTCACCAGTTGTGTTACGCAAATAATTTTTGAGCTGCCTAAGAGTGGAGAAAGACCGTTCTGATGAACATGTAGTGACCGGCAATGTTGCCAGTACTCTTAGCAAGAAATTAACGTTTGGAAAAAACATTGGGTCGCATTGGTCAAGTGTCTCGAGGGCATTCCGTGGTTTTTGACGTACTTCCACAGAATTCCATTTGGCCTTCCATAGTTGAAGTTCTGAGTTAAAGACTTCTTCTCCGTCAGGTACTTGATCCTGGTAAAAGTCATAAAGTTCGTTTCCAAAGTTTGCTTCACCCAAATAGATGGGAATAACCCTTTGTAGTCGACTAATTACATTTTTATGGTCTCGGTATCTTAGCGTCACAGATTCAATTACACTTTCCAAAAATGGTTCAAAGATTGTGGAACGATAAAACGACTCAGCATCTATTAGATTTTCTGACCCTGCCGCACATTTCCGGAAATCCAGTTTGGCTGACCTTGGGAGATCTACAGAGACGCATTGTTTTGCACAAGTTGCGGATACAACCTTGAAAATTTTTGAAAATTCTTGGGCAGCATTCTGTTGCATGTCTGTGAGCAGGAGCAAGATGTTTTCTGCCATTTCGAGGCACGCTAATAAATCCAGGTCAGGGCTTTGAAGCTGCCTGGACAGCGAAATGGTTATTGAAAAGATTTTTTCTATCACGCACATTGGTAAAACAAATCGAATATTTGTAATACAGACTAGAAGCTGATGAGCCTTGTTGGAAGTGTTGGCATCTCCCTCGTTTTCCAGTATTTCAAGGACATCGATTATGCAGTCATAAAGTTCCACGAAACGAAGAACCGAAGAATGTCGCTCAACGAATCGAGTTTCACAGAATGAAAGCAGTGTTGTATGGTTGAAGTTTGTCTGGCTTTCTCCTGAAATTTTTGCTAAAATTGAGGACCATTTTGCAGAAGAACGAACAAATTTAAAGACTTCATTGAGGGATTGAAAAGTGTTTCTGATATCCTTGATTTTGCATGCATCGGTGAGGGCAAGATTAAGGCTATGGCTGCTACAATGTACATATAAGGCATTCGGATTAATACGTTCCTTAACCTTAGCTTGGACTCCTTTAACGTTGCCTTTCATGGCGCTGCATCCGTCATACCCCTGCCCGTGCAAATACTTGGATTCGATCCCAAGCCTTTCCAGCTCGTTCTTCATTTTTATTGCGATTGCCTCACCTGTACCAGATTCAACTGCTGCAAATGTCAAGAAGCTCTCCTTGATTACATGGCGATTTTCCAATTTAGTCACGTATCTTGCACATAGCGCCATCTGTGAGATTCCGGCTACATCCGTTGTCTCATCTGCGATCACGCTGAAACACTTTGATGAATTAATCTCCTTCACGATTACGTCTTGAATTTGACGGCTCGATAAATCTAGCAGTTCGTATTGAATTTCTGGATTTAAGTAACTTGCATTTTTTGGACATGTCGTAACGTGATTTCTAAGGGTGGTGTCATCCCCGCTTTCAATCCGCATACGCAAGAGGGCACGAAAATTTCCGTCGTTTTCTTCAGGCTGGTCCAGCGACAATTTCCGGCTGTCTTGGTGACCCCTCAAGGCCAGGCCTTGTCTGCCACAAACCAATAGCGTCTTAATTATTGGACCCAAAACCAATTTCCCCTTTTATATTTCTTCTTCTGCTGCGTTGTTTAGATTAGCAGTAATAGGAAGCTTCTTCCCATTTTGAATTTGTACGAAGCAGTCAGCATCCAAAAGACTTGTGAGATGATAATCCAGTTTTTCGTGCTTCCTAAAGTTTTCCAGCGCGTTCTTCCATTTTCTGTATGGGTCAGCCACTAACTTGCCAAGGGGTTGTCCGCCAGTCGTGCTCGCGCCTGACTTCTTCGCGAAAAGAAAACAGTATCGACAAAACGCACCGTCCAGGTGGGCAGAGTAGGATAACCCGGAAAATTGTTGCAGCCATGCGAATTGGAATTTCCTATTGCCACCTTCTTCGACAAGGAAATCAAATGCTGAATCTGAAAATTTGAAATTCTGAGTACTATGGTGTCCCTCAAATTTAATTTAGTTCTGTAGCCAACCAGGCGTAACGCTTGCACTTGTCAGATTATTGACTAGCATTTACCTGGAACCCAGACCGAGAGCAAAATATCGAGACACGTGTGATCATTGGGATGACTTCCAACGAAATTTCCAATATCCAACATCCCGATGGTGCGTCCTACAAGAATATAAAGTATCAAAAAATAAATAAAATTGGCCTCGCACAATTTTTCCTAATTATGAAAAACTTATTAAACACAAATGGCACTAATTAAATTTAACTCACGGGATGATCTGGTATCGTCACCAGATGAAATTACTTCACCTTGATCGTCCACCTCAGGTTTATCTGCCATCAGCCCGTCAATAACTTGAGCTGGATTTTCCTCTTTTAACGTGGAATTACCTTTTGGTTTTTTTGTCACAAAATCTGGCAACGATGTTTGCCTTTTCTTCATTTTTATACTGGAGCATTTAATCCTAACGACAGATAGATTATAGGTCAAATTCTCATAAATAATATTTTAAACTTATATTTTATTTTAATATTTTAAATTTTATTTGCGGAAATTAATATTTTAAACGATAACTTTGACAAAGGCAAAAAACTTATATTTTCCACCGTAGTAGGTGACAAAAACTTGATCCAAGCGGTACGAAACTCCCGCAACTAAAGGAGATTGAGACGAAAAGATGCAATTGAGACTATTGAGTTTTTATTGAAAATATTTTGTATTGAAAATATTAATATGTAGTAAATATTCTTATATTATTGAGATTTGTAAATTTATTTAGTTTTTCATATTTGACGAGCCATACAGGGGGGGCTTCAGCCCCCCTAGCCCCCCCTTTGGCTACGCCCATGTCAGCAGAAGACTGGAATCGGAATCTTCGTGGTTGTCTCGCCGTCCTCTTGAACTTGGATCCAAAAGGGGGCGTGAAACGGCCACGTCTTATTTTATATATTTTTATTTAATTATATTAAGCGGGAACGGGGTGAACTCAGACCGTGAGCATTAGTGAGTGCACATTCACTAATGATTATGGCTGCAGTTTTAAACCAAAGTTGCAAAGAATGTAATGAACTACATAGTGCGTTTTGATTATTTGGCTCAATCGGTTAATATTTAGACCATATTTTGGCTATTTGAAAGTTGCTTTTTCCATTTTTTGACAAAATGTCACAAGACACTTCCAAATGTCAGTAAGTAATTTTGAAGATAATTAAATTATACGTTTTCTAAAAAAACGTTGGATAAAATCGGACGAAAATCGGAGGAGTTTTCCCTATGCAGTTCATTTTATTTACACCCCCACCAATGTTGCTAAAGACTGACTCCTAGTAGTTGTCCCACAAAAATAGTCAAATAAAAAATATTTAACAAAAGAAAAGACTTGGACGAGACGCACCGTAAAATTTTAAACAAGGTGCACCCAATATCTCGCTCGTGCCCACCCCATTACATATAACTTGTTTTCAGAGCATCATCATAAATTTAATCAGAAAAGTATTAAAATTGTATTGCATGAAATGTTTACCCGAAAACTTGATATAATTAACAATATTACATACCTATAATTTATCAATACTTGGAAAATAATTTTAACAAACAATATAACTTGTGTAATCTAGTTAGTAATTGTTACAAACTTATGATTAAAAACGTTAATAATAATTAGCAAATAATATTTAAATATTTTATATTGTACGCATAACGAATGATCGGCTCTGATTTCTTGGCTTTCTTTCAAATGGGTTAAATGATTAGTCGTTTCTAAGATACATACAAACAAACTTCATAATGTATAAATGTAAATATGTAGCAGAACCTACTTTAAATGTAAAAGTAAATAATTATTTATGAATATATAAACTTTTCGCTCATGCACAATGCACTACAGAGGGCGATCACACATTCAGTGTAAAGCTTAAATTACCTCACAATTCGTTGAAACGACGCCTGTGAATTGTTTTGGTGGTCTCAATGTGTTGCCCGTCCATCTTGGCAACGAGTCTCAGGCTCAGTTTCCAATTTTTGAACTCCTTTTGGCACATTTCAGGGACGAGAAGTTACCACTCCTTCCTCACAACTTTCCGGAGACCAGGAAAATATTATGTCCTCCTATTTCAAGGCCTCGTTTCAGGTATCCGAATCTGAAAAAATTCCATCGGACTTGTGTCAGGGGACTCTATGGGCATCTCTGAGTTGGTGATCGAGGTCATCCCGGTCCTTCTCCTCAAATCTTGGGCGCAATGGTGAGTTAATCTGGCCATGTGTGAGGATGCGGCGTCATGGTGGATGAAAACTTTGTGCACCTCCCTGGGCTACTTCTTTGGAATTTTGACATCCAAGAACTTTCATAAAATGTTGCCCACATAATACTTCGAGACAATCTTCGCATTGGACCGCACAGTTAGCAACTGTAACACTCCAGGGCCCGACATTGCAATAACTACCATCATTTGATCCGACAACTTTTCCTTTTTTTACACCCCGAGATGGAAACTGGGTTTCTTTCCTTCGTGTAAAAGATTCTTCGGATCTGGTTGCAGTCCTGAACGAAGAAGAGTGCCACGTCCGATTTCACCTTAAATTCGGATTTTCTACCTGCAAGATGACCCTCATTTAGTTTCCGGCAGTCGGTTTTTCTGTTTGCTTTGTGAAAGGGTTTCAGAGCATGTTCCATGGCCTTTTTCTGAACGGGTTTTCCCAAATCTTGGTATATTATTTGGTGGACAAGGGTCTGGGATATCTAGCAGTGATTTGCAATCTCTCTTTGACTCGAAGGATTTTCTTTATCAGTTAGCCGATCAAATAGCCGAAATCTTTATTTTTGGGGGGTAGCTATTTCGTGGTATTTCTTGACCTGATGCAACTGTTTGTCGCCGTTTCCCCTTGGAATTGATGATGTTGTATATTGTCGACACTGCGGGATAAGTTCGGGATTTCCTTCGGTGTCAGATATTTGTAGCCTTATGTTGCCCCAAGTATTTAAATGTCCCTCTGAGATGCTCCCTCCCATCCCTTTGTCTTTGGTCTCTGTCAGTTTTGAGCAGAAGAGAAGAAAGAGAGAGAACGTTTTTATATAAGTTAAATGTTCCACTTTAAATAATTAAAATAAAGTTAAAGATATAATCCTCTCGATTACATTTAATTAACTAATGTGTGGTGAATATTAATAAATCGTCTAGTTAATTCATTTAACATTAAGGTTTGATTCGTCCTATTAATTTCATACCAAGTTAAGGTTTTCACTGCCAGTAACACATTTAAGTTAGAGACCTCTTCTCGGGTAGAGATAAGGATTTCTACATTTTTGGTGACCTCTACGTGATCATTGGAGTGATCACCATCCCAGGAACCGGGGGAAAAGATAAAGCTGAGAAAGTGGTTTGCTGAAGCCCAGGTTATCTTCCCAAAGTTCAGCACTCCCAGGTTATATCGGTCCAGTTTTAAAGAGTATCAGAAAATACTAATTGTTTGTCGTTTGCTGGGTCTGTTGATTACCTGGAAATGAATAGCGAACAGAGGACTCCAGTGGGTGGGCGCCGTAGTGACCGGACCAGACGAGAACCCCAGCGCTACACTCCAGCTTGGGGCAAAGATGGAAAGAAGGCGACGACTTCACAGGAAGAAGAAGTGTCCCATTTACATTTTTCTTAAAACAATGTGAACTGCAAAATGAAAATTGAAAATGCAAAACAAACAAGTACAATTGTATTTATTTGTAAATGACCCCGACGACCAGGATCAAGACATTCAGCCGTCGACAAGTCCAACTAAAGAAGGACCATCGTTTCTTTCAAGAATGTGGCCGTTTGGAAGCAAGAAGTCTCCAGTACCGTCTACATTATCAAGTTTCGCTCGGCGAAGGGCTCAAGCTAAGGCCGAGTTGCAAAAGAAGATTGCCATCCTCGACAAGGAGATTATTGATCTGCAAGAATCAATGGAGATTGCGCAATGTGAGATCGAGTCATTTGAAGAAGATGTGAAGAGGAAGACGGACATTTGTGAGCCGACTCATCCCCTCCACAACCCTGAAGAACTTGTAAAGTTACACCAAGAGATTGCAAAATGTAGCAATGAATTGGCTGATAAGAAAAGTAAAGCGAAGATAGCCAAGATTCGAGCATCAAAGCGGATTGAAGCTATTGCATTGTAGAAGAAGAATTTAGAATCTGAGGGAGAAGTGAATCTAGCTGAGCTTGATGAAAAAGAAGAGCAACATCTGGGATCAGACGAAGAATTGAGTGATCCTGAACAAGAAGAAGTACGAAAATTGAGAAAAGAGTTTCATGTCTGGCGAAGTGGGTGTGGTGTGAGTGCGCCGACCAATAATTCTCCTCCGTCTGCCATGGACTCCATTGTGCAATCTCTCCAAACTCAGAATCAAGCATTAATGAAAGCATTAGGCAATAGTCAGTCGGCCCCGTCATTAACGGATAAGTTCCTCGTTCGTCAGTAAATTGGACGGGACTTGCCGCTCTTCAGTGGAAGACCTGAAGAGTGGCCTTCATTCATCACAACGTTCAAGAGAACGACCGTTTGATGTGGATTTACGGATGCAGAAAATGTGGAACAGATCCGGAAGTTCCTGAGGGGAGATGCAGCCAAGAGTGTTGAGTGTCTCCTCGTGTCGCCACAATCCCTTTTAGTGGACAAGATAAGAAGCATCCCTGTCCATTCTGTAAGAAGACCAACCACTTGGGCAGAGACTGCTACCGTGCAGAGAGGATGACTTGGGACGAGAAAAGTAAAGTGCTAAGTGAGGGTCGTCTGTGCTTTAAGTGCTTTACTCCCGGACATCGTAAGGACTCGTGTAAAGTTAAAATTAAGTGTGCGATTTGTAATGGACCCCATGTCAAGTCAATGTGTACAGAGTTTCCAGTAAATCAAGGAAGAGTTCGAAATGAAGATGTGCAAGAAGATCTGCAAGCTGTTATTACTACAGCAAATAACGCCAACCATACTTGTCGTGGAGATGTGTTGTTGAAGACGATCGTGGTTCGAGCAATTGGTCCGAAGGGGACCAGTTTAGTGCGGCTTCTGTTCGACGAAGGAAGTGAGCTCAGCAACATTGGAAGTGCAACTGTGAACACGATCGGAAGTCGACAAGTTGGTGAGGAATGGTCACGTAGTGTTTTGTTCGGAGGTGATGTCACTCATGCTAAGAAAGTGAAGAAATTTGAAGTGAAGCTGCAAGGTTTAGATGGGAAATTCACTGAGAAGTTAATTTTGAATGAAACTCACGTCATTTGTGACACCCTCCTTCGAATCCCAAACGGACCATGGGTGCACGAATTCAAAAAGAAGAAGATTTGGATCAGTGATTTGGAGCAGCGTTCTCTTCAATCAACTGATATGGAGATTAGGGTTCTACAATGTCGGTGTCAAGGACATCATGTCATGACAAGCCATATTTGTCATGTCATGTCATATTTGTCGAAAAATGTCATATTTGTCAAGTTAGTTAAAATATGACTTTACTGACAAATTTGACATGACAAATATGACATTTCTTGACAAATATGACACTTTACCCCGAAAACCCGCCAACTTATGAAAAATGAATATTTATCCCCCCAGTATTTCATCAACTATACAACTCGTTTCTCACACCAACAGAAATAATAATAACTCGTCACATGGAACCAAGGTCAACAATAGCTCGTCCCCTCTCGCAATCGCCAATAGGTCAATAATAATTTAGATAACAATTTAAATTGAAGGATTTACCAACATAATGTTAATAAGGGGAACCCCCCTAAAATTATTTCATCCGTTAATAAGTAATGATACTCAATTACTTGAGGAAGAAATTATAAATCCCGATCCTAGTTTTTCAAAAAACTAGATAGCAAAGGGTCATGAATCCAGTTGAATGGAATGTTCCGTTCGGATTTATAACTGCATTCACTTAATATTTTGAAGTTCTCTCTGCGAGATAGTATTAACGTAGTTAACGTTAACGAAGGTGTTTTTTATTGGTGCAGGGGGAGGAGGACGGATCGAGCTTGCTGCAACTGATGTTGAGCTGACTGTGATCATTTCAATATCCTCTAGTGAATCAATGTTTTCAATATTCGCTCCTGGGTTCTTTTAACGATATTGCCGCATTTTTAAACTTTTAAGGTCCGTAGCATACCTCTGTCGAGTTGCCTCTGGCGTTAAAGAACAAGTGTGCTAGTTTACCCTTTATCTGGTCCCACGATTAGTAATTGTTTTATAATGACATGGCAATGCAGACAGGTAGCTTTGACCCCAATACATTTCCATTAAATCAAATCTGCTGCTGTTTTCATCTCGCGTCCAGGTCCAGGCAGGTATTTTCTAATATCTTTTGTAAAGAATAAAATTAAAATTGCTGTCACAGGAAGCGACAAGCCACTAATAAGTCGGCCAACCCTTCCTCTGATTTGTTTGGTTGATTAACTAACCTACCTTGCTCTTGTTAATAATTTTGAAATTGTTTTCTCTATTTAAGTTTAAGTAGGATTGTTATTTGATGATGCAATGTGCAAAACACAACTTTAGCGGGGCGATGGAATTGCGAGACAAAATAATAGATGTCGTTGAAAATGTCAAAAATGTCAAAAATGTCAAAAGTGTCATGACATTTATGACAAATATTATTATGTCAATTTGTCAAAAATGTCAGACATTGACACGTCTCGAAAATGTCTGACAAATATGACATTTGACATATATGACGTACAAATATGACATGACAAATATGACATGTAGAACCCTAATCGAGTTACTGATTGGGAGCGACTACTGGGGAAAGTGGGTGACTGGCAAGCCATTACAAGTCTATCAAGATTTAAATGCAGTACCAAGTTTGGATGGACATTGAGTGGTCCGATTTCAAGAGAAAGTAACAACTTGGCCATGACATGTGCTAATCTGGTCGTGAGTCAAGCAAGTGTCACTGATCTGTGGGATCTTGAAACCATCGGAATTCGAGATCCGGCTGAAACCAAGACTAACGAAGAAAGTGATCAGGAAGCTAAAGAGAACTTTCTTAATACCATTACGAGGAACTAGGACGGACGCTATGTAGTGTCATTACCGTGGCTTGGAATTGAGCAAGAAATTCCAAACAACAAGAACACGGCAGAAGAGAGGTTGGTGAATGCAACCAACAAATTAAGTGCAAGTAATTTCAAGTTGTACGATTCAATAATGCGTGACTGGATGAAGGAAGGCTTTATTGAGGAAGTTGCGGATATAAATAAGAAGAATTTGTGCTACTATCTACCTCATCGCCCAGTGTTCAAACCGCAGAGTTTGACCACCCCTGTTAAATCTGAAATGAGTATAGTTATATGAAAAAGTCTTTGTTGTATGTATGTATGTGTCATTTGACCCCGGTGGTCGTTGGAGCGGCCGACCGGGTGGTGTGAATATTTTTAGTGGGACGTATGTGGCGTCTCTCTTTGTTCTTGAGTCGTAGTTAATCACTGAGGTAGAAATACGATTCACTTGAGTTTTAGTAGCCGTTGAAGTAAGTACTTGGAAGAATTGTTAGTTCTTTTTAATGGTTGAAAGTACTTATTCGGCATTATTGTTGTTGTAATTATTCACCAATCATCTCTTGTTGTTGATAGAGCTCTGGATTGGGTGAAATTAAAGTGTATTTGTTAATTTGGGAATAAAATCCAGTTTAAGTAGGAAAATACACGTTTAGACAACTTTCACTCACTCACTTGTTTCAAACCCAGAGCAAGGCACAATTAAATATAACGTAAAGACACTATACTCGGGTAGAGAATAGCTTGGTTTTTACAACCCCAGTCCGTCCAGTCCTTAACGCGTCATGCAAGACTGGAAGAGCACCATCATTGAATAAAAGTCTGGAGAAAGGACCGAATCTTATGGAATTAATTCCCTCCATTTTGCTTCGGTTATGAGAAAAGAAGATTGGTGCGGTATCCGACATACGGAAAGCGTTCCAAATGATCGAGGTGAAAGAAGATGATCGCGACTTCCTGCGTTTCCTATGGTGGGAGGACGCGACCCAAGAAAAGCTAATAGAATTCAGGCACAAGAGGGTTGTTTTCGGAGTTAATTGCAGCCCCTTCATACTTGCTGCTCTGCTGGAAAAACACCTGAAGTCGGTGAAAGCAGAGTTCCAGCCATTAGCAAATAAACTGTTGGGATCCCTTTATGTTGACAACTGTGTGACATCATTGGACACTTTTAAAGAATATGAGACGTTCAAGGCTTTATCCACCGAGATTCTCAGTGACGCCAAGATGAATTTGCGTCAATGGGAACACACTGCTGTGGGGACATCCGGAATCGAGTTCAACCGTTACTGCGGATTGGATGGCGGCAGTAGTTGTGTTCCACAGGATTCAAGTATCAAGATTACAACAATGGTTTTGGGTCTCGTGTGGGATAAAGATAAGGATACTCTCAGTTGTAAAATCAAGATTGCAGATTTGCAAGAGAAGTTGACCAAGAGGGTAATCTTATCGAGAATTCAAAAGATTTTCGACCCGATTGGCTTTAGGTGTCCAGCCACCCTTCAGCCGAAGATATTACTGCAAGAGGCTTGGGCACAGAAATTAGAATGGGATAAGGAGTTGCCTCAAGAAATGCAGCAGAAGTTTGTGACATGGTGTGAAGAAATGGAATGCCTCGCCAAGATAAAGATACCAAGATGGGCATCAATTTCAGCTTGTCGACCTCAAGATCTACAATTCCATGTATTTTGCGATGCCAGTCAAGCAGCATATGCAAGTGCGGTGTATGTAAGAATAAGAATAGGAGAACAGGTTCAAGTCCACCTCCTCCAAGCCAAGTCCCGGGTTGCACCACTAAAGAAAATGACGATTCCAACACTGGAATTATTAGGATGCACAATCGCAGCTCGGATGATGAACTCGGTCTCTGACGCTTTATCACTGGACGCCGGTGTTACCACCACTTACTGGACGGACTCCACGACGGCTTTAGCGTGGATCCAAAGAAATGATGATTGGGGAACGTTCGTCGGAAATCGCGTGCGAAGTATCCTAAATTTGACAAATTGTGCAGAGTATTGGAGACACGTTCCTGGTGTCATGAATCCAGCCGATCTCCCCTCCAGAGGATGTGATGCTAGAGAGCTTCTGGAATCCAAATGGTGGGAGGGACCCGCCTGGTTAAAAGAAGACGAAGACAAATGGCCAACCAGAGTAGTTGACCTCAATGAAGCGGATGTTGCCACAGAGAAGAAAATAACATCCACCCAGATGACCAGTACAAGTCAGGTAGCAGAGTCGTTATATGTGGAGCGATTCTCAAGTTTTCACAAGAATGTCCGGGTTATCGGATGGATTAGAAGATTCGTGAAGAATTCAAGGTCATCGTGACGTGAAAGATTTAATGGCCCACTTACCATTGAAGAGATAGAAAATGCTGAAAAGGTAATTGTGAAGTTGAAACAAAACAAGTCGGTCGCGGCATTAACAAAATTTCGTATTGCTAACAAAATTTCGTATTGCTAACAAAATTTCGAATTGTTAACAAAAATCTTGGTTGGAGCTAATAATAGGAATTAATCTATTAAACTCGGCAAATATTTTAAAAAATGGAAGAGCTAGAATAGATGATTTTATTGTTTACAATTGCATTAGTTATTAATAAGTTCCATATTTCGATCGTGAAAAAACTAATACGGAAAAGGCATTATTTAACCAAATTGGCCAATTTGTCAAACTGGCCCGCAAATTCGAGGCTGTAGCCAAATATTAGTCCAAAATAATTTTACGAATTATTTCGAATGATGTTTGACTAAATTCTACCCATGCTTTGGTCAAAAATTAAATTTTTCAAAATTTGCAAAAAATTCGCATATTTTTGCTAATATCTCGAAAACTGCCAAGGCGCCCCCCCCCCCAATATTTTTACGGATTCTTCATGTACACAAAATTACGGAAATGTTAAGGTATCATAGAGCAAAATCGTTGGAAGGCGAAAATTCGCGATCTGATTGTATATGTATGTCTATCTTAACTAATACGGAAAATGCATTATTTAACCAAATTGGCCAATTTGTCAAACTGGCCCGCAAATTCGACGCTGTGGCCAAATATTAGTGCAAAATAATTTTACGAATTATTTCGAATGATGTTTGACTAAATTCTACCCATGCTTTGGTCAAAAATTAAATTTTAAAAATCTGCAAAAAATTCGCATATATTTGCTAATATCTCGAAAATTGCTAAGGTGCCCCACCAATATTATTACGGATTCTTCATGTACACAAAATTACGGAAATTTTAAGGTATCATAGAGCAAAATCGTTGGAAGGCGAAATTTCGCGATCTCATTGTATATGTCTATCTTAATTAAGTTTTCGTACAGGGAAGAAGTTCAATTATGGGATTAGAAACCATTATGGGCGAAGATGGTATCATTCGAATGGTAACCAAGTTATTCCACTGTCAAGAACCAGAAGGATTCCATACACCAATGTTGTTACCAAAAATCCATCCAGCTGTGGAAATGTTGATTCGAGAATCACATTTAGAGAATTCTCATGCTGGTGCTCAATTCCTCATGGGGAACTTCAGAGAAAAATATTGGATTCTCCAAGGAAGACAAACAATAAAGAAAGTGATTTCGTCCTGCGTTAGATGCAGACGATTTAACGCAAAGAGACCAATTGTGCCATGTGGTCAACTTCCCGACAACAGAGTCAAGATGGGAAAAGTACTTGAAGTCACAGGAGTCGACTACGCCGGCCCCCTCTACCTGAAGGATAAGAGTAAAGTCTGGTTTTGTCTTTTCACGTGCGCGGTGTATCGATGTGTCCACCTGGAAGTCGTCGACTCTTTGTCGACGGAAGCATTCATTTTGACGTTGGATCGCTTTGTCGCAAGAAGAGGGCGTCCATCCGTGATCTACAGCGACAATGGAACCAACTTCGTTGGAGCTGTAAATTTATTCAAGAATATGGATTGGTCTCGAGTTGAAAAGGAAACTGGGACGAAGAGGATGCTCGGAAACGCAAGATTGAATTTTGACCAGTTGGTGTCTTGTCTTTGTTCCGTAGAAGCAACGGTGAACGGACGGCCACTTACATTTGTCACCGAGGATCCCACAGACTTAATTCCCATCACTCCTGCAATGTTCATGCAAGATGTGCAGGATACGAGTTGTCCCAAAGTTGGAATTTTGGAAGCTATGCAGGTTTTAATAGAACAGCTTCGTGGGAGGTTCAGAAAGGAATACCTCAGCCAACTCGTTCAGCGCGGACAAGAGAAGGAACCCAAGACGTTCAAGATAAACGAGTTGGTTTTTATCGGCAGTGATAATAAGAAGCGAGTGGAATGGCCTTTAGGAAGGATTATTGAACTCATCTCAGGAAAGGATGGGAAAGTTCGAGTTACTCGAGTTAGGACTCGTACCGGGATCTTCCTATGACCCCTGCAGAGATTGTATTCATTGGAAGTCAACGATCCCGCCACAGCACTGCCTGCCATAAGTCAAGACGACAAGAAAGACACGCCTGAGTCCAAGGATTTGAAAATGGAAGTTGTCACAAGAACCAAGAGAGGACGAGTAATCAAGAAGCCTCATCGATTTGGAGAGTTGTGCAACGATGAGTGAAGTAATAAGATTATGGATCATTTATAATTGTAATATTTTTATTGTTTAACTATTGAAGTATTCCTGTAGGATTATGTAAGTATGAATTTAGTCAAATTCCGGTAGGAGATGTAAGATATTTGTAGTCTTATGTTGCCCCTAGTATTTAAATGTCCCTCTGAGATGCTCCCTCCCATCCCTTTGTCTTAGGTCTTTGTCAGTTTTGAGCAGAAGAGAAGAAAGAGAGAGAACGTTTTTATATAAGTTAAATGTTCCACTTTAAATAATTAAAATAAAGTTAAAGATATAATCCTCTCGATTACATTTAATTAACTAATGTGTGGTGAATATTAATAAATCGTCTAGTTAATTCATTTAACATTGAGGTTTGATTCGTCCTATTAATTTCACACCAAGTTAAGGTTTTCACTGTCAGTAACACATTTCAGTTAGAGACCTCTTCTCGGGTAGAGATATGGATTTCTACATTCGGTCCATTTGCTTCGGAAAGCGCTTTCACTGACACTTCCTCATTCGGGCTAATTTTAAAGCCACCCTTTATTAGCACAAATTGGAAACTTCGTGAGTCTCACCGTGTGACCTTCAAACTTATATGTACCAAATTTGGCGCCACTTGGCTGGCGCGTTCTCAAGTTTCCCTTGAAATAAACTTTACACTGAATGTGTGATCGCCTTTAGTAAAATGCGAATAATAATGTTAATACTTTGCTATGAAAACAAATTATACTGGGGTGGGCACGAGCGAGACAGTGGGTGCACCTTGTTTAAAATTGTACGGTGCGTCTCGTCTAAGTCTTTTTTTGTTAAATATTTTTTATCAGATATCCGAAGCAGAAAAAGTCCTTTGGGCTTATGTCAGGTGATTTGACAGGGATTTAGTTATTTAAAATAATTTTATATCCGCAGTATAGCCTGTAGGTCCTTTGAAAAGTGAGAGGACTCCACGACAGATTTCGCGCCAGCCTCCTTAAATTTTTTACAAAAATTCTCCGTGTATGGCATAGGCCATCTTCTCGAATATAGACAAATTTAGTTATTTTATTTAGTCTGTGGTGTAGCAAATTTTGCGTTGGCCATTTTTACCTTGTAGGGAAAATAGTGCTTCGTCTAATGACACTACAAAATCACTTTTCTGATTTGTCTAAAAATTAGTATAAAAGTTTATGCAGGGATTTCGACGATATTTTGTTTGCATTTCTATCAGCTGATGAACTCGAATTTTCCTCCGTCCAATCTTCCCTAACCCTTTAATTACTCGTCAAGCAGTCTTTGAGACTATTTCACTACACGGGCAATTTACCTTTAAGGTGGTGGATTGTCTTTTGACCTCAGCAGGTAAAGTTTCTTGAGCACAGTCGCAGATAACACTTTTCGGGTGGTCGTCCATATTTGCACGAGCTTGCCGTCTTTCGTCCGTAATTTTCAGTTATTTGTGTATTCCCTCTTTGGAAATTTGAAACCCCTAACTTCGAAAGTATCCAATGATGGCGCTATACGAATACTTAAGTTTTGAAAGTATTTTGATGACCCCATATGCCTCTAGGCTCTGGGGGGCCCATCTTTTAAACTAAATGTGTCAATTTCTGCACACACAACCACAAAGGCCTCGTGCCTTTGTGGCACGGCTTTGTGGCGTTAGCTATAAACGTTAGTCTCTGACGACAATGAAGGTTTACGTTTATCTTTACGCGATCTTCCTTAGATAATTCTCATCTCAAAAATATGTATGTAAGTATGTATGTACATATGTAGCGTATAATTATCCCAGGAAACACGATAAGCACAAAATTCAGGCAATAATACTGATTGCTATGTAGACGTCCTTTATTAAAGATTTTACAGTGAATCTATATCCAGTAAGCTCGATAAAAGGGGTAACGCGTCGTTAATCAAATGCCAGGGTATCTCACGCATGCACTTGTGCTCATATTCATTCTTTTCCCCCAGTGTCAAATCTGATTCGAGGAACCAAACATCATAAAATTTGACCCCAAGGACGTCCGCATTCTCAACCCGGAAGAACCCCCCATCCGCAAAGTCTTTCCCCCACGAATTCATGAAAACAAGGTGATCCCGATAACATTCCACGAGAACAACGGCATGCCCAGTTTTCTCACTACTTTTGGCATACCCAATATCCCCCGATTTCAATACCCCGCGACGATTCTTTGTAAAGAATTGTTTAAAATTGTACCATTGATCTCCCTCAACTTCCTTGTCTTTCTTCATTCCAGTAAGAAAAAATGTTGCTACGAGGGCTCTCCCTTGCGCGATGGCAGTCCGGGCTTCTGCCTCACCAGATAGAGCTCCACTATGTAGCCGGTATTGTGCAGCATATTTTGGGAGCACCACGTCTACGCTTGCCCCATCGGACTTGAACTCATCGATGATCTGCTTTAACAAGGCACGAAAATCGGGGTAATTGCCGCTTCTCCCGCAAATCCTGCCCGCCGCGAGATGGATTACGGCAGCAATCGCGTTAGCATAGCAGGTTCCACCTACTTGACTGTTTGGCAGGTCTGTTGAAGGGGTGGTGTACAGGGACAGTGAGCCACGAAAGGTATGCTTGTCGTTCGGCAATCGCTCCGGTGCATGCTTGCGAGCGGTGGTATGGGCATCCAAGATTACGGTAAGCTCTTCCACGATAATCGACATCCTGTACAAAAGTGACACTGTGTTGCTAATAGGTTTAAAAAAAAGTGATGCAACCGACCTTCTCATGTCCCTTATGAGTCCTTGGACGAGGTCATATTCTCTGGCCCGTTCTAAATTAGTCATTTTTGTTGGGTTGAGCAAGCGTGAATAGTCGGGTATTTTCTCCGAGTACCAGGACTGGCGGGTTCTACATAATAGTTTAAAAAAGTTCTTATAAAGTTCTACCCATGAAAAATACCGTATTTATGTTATTTTTTAAAATCCTTATTATAACACTGCCGTGGTAATAATTAAAATGGTTCAGTAACTCTAAATCTAGAGCTAAATTTATGTCGGGAATACGAGCCAGGGTTGCATATTTCCCGTCCAAAATACTTTATTGACCGTCCAAAATAATTTTGCCCACTTGGAAATGGGAAAAAGTGGGAAAAGTGGGAAAGGGGAAAAATTGGAAAAACTATCGCCACCTAAAACATTCACATAAGAACTAACAAATTTCCCAATTTTTCCCATTTCCCACTGATTTTAGTTGGTGGTAAAAATTGAATTTTTCCCATTTTTTCCCACTGACCTGGGAAAAACGGTTTATATGTACCACTTGCAACCCTGATACGAGCTAACGGGATCGCGATCCCGTCCCGATCGATCGGGACGAATGAATTAACTTTAGTTCTAGTCACACAATACCAAGATGTCATTTTTTAACCGATGCGACAAATATTCAGTGGACAAAAGATTCGGCAAAAAGAATCAAAAATTAAAGATTACTGTTTTGTATTTACATACTTTCAAAAATTAAATTTTTAGATTATTTTAATCTGAAAATTATAAAAATCCCACCAAGATTTCAAAATCTATTTATGGTGGCTTGAAATGAGTAGAGAATATATTTTTAAAAGGTTGGCGGGAGATATACCAAATATGAGCTTTACTCCGAAATATGTATATGTAAATGAATTGTAACGAGGATTTTTGTACTTTTTCTATCACTAGCACAGCTGGTTCCGATTCTTGAATCTAGCAGTACAGATGTACACAAGATGAGAAAAAGGCTTCAAAGACAGAGGCCAACGCCGACCAATTTTTCCGCGGCGGCGGAAGCGGTGCCAATTTTTTTCGTGACTTTTTGGCGCGGCGGCGCGACGCGGAGTCTCAATATTGAATGTATAGGGAATTTTATTTATCGACAGCGGCAACGCCTAAAATTATGTCGGCGTCTGGCGGCGCGGCGGGGTACAATAGACGGCGTTAACCCCTGTTCAAAAAATCCTCAGAAATGGATTATGTGAAACATACGATCCTAGAAATGACACTACCGTAAATCTGGTAGAGTGACCTATGGATATACTCCGTCCTGATGTTGGTTTGATGATAACCCTCTCCTCATTGGTTGATACTTTTTAAATAAGTTCATATGTCCATATTTCGTTACCACCACATTACATCATCCCTCGTTATTAATACACCTTTAATAATTGGAGAGACAATTGCCACCGGTTGGTGTCTAAATATGATTCTACGGGTACTGGTAGCGAAGAGTATGTATGTATGTATCACCATGGTAGCAAATCTCCACCATACCGTTTCCGAATTTCTACCAACTGGGGAGAATATTTAACCAAAGGGTATCAAAATCAACACTATGAAATTGCTACCCCCATGACTCTACCGGATTATTAAGAGTGTATGTATGCAGACAGAATCAAATGCATACATACATATGTATGTACCCCGCCCAGTATACATATAATGGTCAACTCGCAATTTAATACATATTCCTGACACAACTTTTATCCCAGGGAAAAATTATCAGCCCGACGGTCGGGTGTTGATCTGGTCTGTGCATATTCATTCTTTGTATATTCAGCTCTGTTCAGAGTTCGACAAAAAGCAAACAAGCATGGAAAAATAAATGAATTTTTGCTTTATTGCTTTAAACTGCTTTTCTGCTTTATTGCTTTATTGCTGTTAACCCCTGAAGCTCCACCTATGGGCAAAAAGCAACACAAAAAAGGGCATAAGATACAAACAAAAAATTGTCACACCTGAAAATATTGTCCAATTAAATAGTCATGGATTCAATTAATTACAATTACAATGGTGCATGACGGCAAAAAATTAAGTTGTCTGCGCCGGAGACACCTTCGTGTTAGGGCCAACTACCAAAGTAATTCATTTTAGAATAAAAATTGCTTGCAAACCTGCTAACTAGTTTAATAAAATAGTAATTTATAAATTTTATTTCTAAATTATATCAACCTAATGTAATGAATCCAACGGCTTATAATATTTTTATCACTTTTTCAACGTCGATAGAATAAATCTGTGACCAAGAATAACCTCTTAGTTTTAAATCAACGTAAAGATTGACGACTTGGCGAGTGAAAACTTTCGTTAATTCACCCAAATTTGTGTTTCACATTGCCCCAAAACAGTTTACAGCAAAAAAGCAGAAATTTTAACTAAGCAAAAAAGCTGCTTTAAAGCAATAAAAAGCACTTTTTGCTTTAAAGCAAAAATCTGCTTTGGTCGAACTCTGGCTCTGTTGGTCTGGGATTGTTAAGATTTACTGCTGGGAGCTCACTCACCTCGGTATGTTCATACATACATACATAATAAGTATTTTTGAGTGGGTCTGATGTTTAACTATCAAAACCCTTAACATGCATAATTGTGCATTTGTGCATGGACATAAACTGTTCTCATTGTTATGAGTTATTTACATATGTACATATACATAATCACTTGGTGCAAATTTACATAAGAACGTAGACATTCATATTATTATGATTAATTCTCTGGTGTGGAATGAACATCAAAACCACTCGGTGGCGATTTGCGTCAATGCTGAATAAATGTGATAACTTATGTATTTATCTGCTCATCGCTTGCATATATGTACATATGTACGTGTAAGTAAATAACCAGTAATAAGTCATTAAACGTTACTGAATAATATCCAGGTAGTAGATAACGGCTTTATGTCGTGCTACATTGGATCATTCGAAGTATTTTTTTCCAATATTCATCTCATCACGATTTCCCCGAGGTTGGCAAGATCTCTCAGACACCAGAGAAAATCAAACATCACGATATTATCTTGATATTTGATCCTCGGCCACAACTTTTGAACTTGATCTTGCACTGAAGGATATTTTAATTAACATTAAAATTATGTAAGAATTCGGAGAGTCGTGTCCTAAAATGATTAAATTACAGGTGTTTATATTTTTAGAATATTTGCAACATTAGTCACAAACTCTTCTCAGAAGTGGCACTTTCGGTAAAATTATCCTTAAAATGAAGTCTGAAGCCGACCAAGGCGACGCTGAGCACATTTGAGATTTCTCCCAGTATGAATGATAATCACCATAGAAATTAAAATTCGCAATGTAAATATTTACATAGTCTGAAAAAGTCAGTGTAGCACGTGGAGCCGCTCCCGGTAAATAAGCGTCCTCCTAAACTACTTACGCTTTTAATGCAATTAATTGTTAAATATTTAGATAAATTGGTACTGAAGTTCCACAATGAGCAATCATTTCGTGCACATCGAGAGACAATTTCATAATTTTGTACTTTTTTTGGTCGTCGACATCGACACCATAGTTTACATACATATGTATGTACATATTTTAGGGCTGGGTAAATTCAACATTTTGACATGTTTCCGTGATATTGGGATAAAGCGTGTGATTGTATGGAAAGGAAGTCATTTATTTAATCCTGAATTATTCATACGTATCCTATCAAATTAAAATTATACTATTTTGTTTGAACTGATCCTTCACGACATGTTTTAAATTTCACGCGTTACGTACTTTACTATTACATACATAATTATGTACATTTATTTATTATGTAAGGGTGGTGGCTATAAAATAATGGAGTAAATAAATATGTAAGCATTTCTTGGAAATGTACGTATATATGTATTAAGATTTGGTTTGTAATAAAATAAATTTTATTCCACATGTCGCACGAGACGACATGTAAATACATACATACATACGCACGTCACACCAGTGTATCAACTTTAGTTACCAATTTTTTATAAGAATAGTCCTTGCATATTATTTGAATGGTATTCTGGTTGATTTTGTTGGCATTATCCCTAAACCTTTTTGCCATAACTGGTTTACCACCTTACTTAACTAAACATTCCAATCATGTTATTGCTAAATAAATAAACGATGAGTTACAGTAGTAATTTTTAGTTTTTAATCAGCCTACAAAGACTTTGCAGTCAACAGTTGTGAATTCAATCACCACTTATTAACATTTTAATAAATATTGCTAAAGTTGTGCTTATTATTTATATTAATAAAAATACAAGGACTTGAATAAGGAAACTAAAAGAGAAATTACAGCTTATAAATAACTCCATAAGGTAAACCTAATACATTGTAGAGTTCTTGTAAATATGTAGTCCAAGTATTTTGTCCTTAACCTAACTTCATTAACACCGCAGCAATTAAAATAAGGAGAAAAACCGGCCGCGTGGAGGGATCAACTTGATCACCATGCGACGTGGTCATTTCATCGTCACCAACTTCCAAACGGGGCCGATCCGTCTCCGTCGTGGTCATCTTTGTCATCACAGGATCAACGCTCTCTTGGGAAGAATCCGTCTTCAAAGGTGACCCCGTCGTCGTCGTCACATTGATCACCATCATCGTGGTCGCGTAGGTAGAGGACAATGTCGTCGCGACATTCTTCACCGTCGTCACCCGTCTTGATCTCACTTCCGGGCAGGAATATCCACAAAAAGAGAGCGATCGGGCGTTCACGGGAAGACCAAAGCGCGCCTCGGGAAAACCCCACCACCACAAATCGGACAAGTACGGATATCCCGGTCGCAATTGGACGGCATTCTTCCCACACGTGGTGTCATCATGTAATTCGACACAGGTGGAGGTCGCAGTCCCCGAAAGTTGGATGGATTTCGACAGTGGTGTCAAAGCAATGCAGTCCATCTCGGTAAGTTTGTTGATGGTTAAATTACCTAAATAAGTATTTTAATTGTAAATATGTTAATTTAGCAAATATTGAAGAATAAATGGCACTATTTATGGCACGTTTTTTGTAAAACTTTTGTAACTTGTTTCACTTCGTAAATAAATATTTTGTAAATCTAGTAAATCTAATATATTTTGTAAGGTTTTTCTAGAAAAGTTTAAATCTGGCAAAGATTGCATTATGTTTGGACACAAATTTTGTGTAAATTTTGAAAGTGTTTCGTTTTCGACGGAAATGTTTTGAAACGTCAATTTATGAAAATGTTGATTTAGGAAGTATTGAATAACATCTATTTACATTTTATTTTTGCAAATTCTGTACTTATTCCTCACCATAATAGTTTTCCTTGTCGAATACGGTGACCTTTACGGGGACCTTGTGCCCCATCCCGGCCCAATTCTTGGCATTGCATATCTTCAAACATGGCCCGATCGAGGAAATCTTGATGGTTTCGTTGGTCACTAAAACGTCGCCGTCCTCCAACCAGCGATGTCCCGCCATGTCACGAATCCTCGAGAAAAACTTGTTGGTCTGAAAACGGATAAATTTTCCGACACAGTTTTGTTTAGCGTAAACATTGAGGCAGTTCCCGTTGGACTCAATCTCGTAAATGTGTTCGTGACCGGCGGGGGGTTTGGGAAGGACGGGGGTGCAGTGATCCAGGGAGAAGATGAGGGCTAAATGTGGATTTAAAATAAAGATATAATTTAATTTATGCCACCAATTAAATCAAAATTTGTAATTAAATCGAAATATTTCAAGTTTAATGTGATAAGAAAATCAAATATTATTGTCTGCTTATGCAAAAATATGTCCAAAAAATTCTACTGCTACGCAAAAAAAATTATTGTTTTGAAACTTACGATCGGACTCCTTGTCAACACGAATTCCAAAAGTCCCCGAATTTCCGAGACATGGCCGAGTCCAGAAAAGTAAAAGAACCGTTGTGAATGCAAATTTCCTCGGAGAAGTAAATTTAGTGCACATATTGCAGATTTTTTTTTAAATTTGCAAGTTGGAAATTTGCAAGTGTGACGTGCGTGCGAAGTGAAGAATAACAAAACAACACGGGCTGTTGCGCGTTATCTGAGCGATTTGATTTGCCGGGGTACTCTGACACGATGCTGAGATTGTGTGTAGTGTGTAGTTGCAATGATGAATATGAAAAAGTTAATAAGCTCATCATAAAATTTCATGAAAATTGAAACAAATAGAAACAAATTGAGTACATAATTGGCAGACATAAAAAACTGTGTCCCGTTCTACTCAATTATTCGCCATGTATGTATGTACACATACATATTTACTTAAGTAAGAATTAACTGTCCCCCGTAATGAAATTGCCCTTCGTTTTTCTTCCTTCTAAAAAATTTTTGCAGTTTTGCTGTTTATTACGTTCTTTTACATTACACAAAATTTAACATATTTACCTTTTTCATTAAAAAATGGGGGAAGTTGAAAAACAGTTTTTCCAAATGGATAATTGCGAATTTTAATGTTTGGGATAGAAGTAAAATTAATGATACCAGTTGCCTAAATACAATTATTATTGCGTGTAACCTAATTTACATAAATCTTACGATGCCCATTTCAGCGATACGGGGTTTCATTATTGAGTAAACTCTATGTGTCTCTCGAATGCGTAAAAATATGTAAATGAGGTGACTAGCCGAAAAAATTCTAGAGATGTATGTATGTATGGCAGGGGCTGCGGAACCGTGGGGACATCGGGTACAATGTCCCCACAGAAATTTATTGCCTTTATAACACGACTATATGCATTTAATAGAAATTGTAACGTAAAATTAAAAATGTCATCAACTGTTTAATATTATATAATGCATACATATGTATGTATGTGCAATGGTTTACATACATACATATGTAAATGGTTGCCATGGGTGAGCCGGGCACCCGACTTTGTCGGGTTCGACCCGGACCCGCCCGAACCCAACGGGTTCGGGTCGGGCGGGTCTTGAAAGATTAAAGTCGGGTCGGGTCGGGTTCGGGTCGGCCGCAAAAGTCGGGTAACGGGTCGGGTCGGGTTTGTTTACTGACAAAGTCGGGTCGGGTTGGGTCGGGTCGAGAATCTGTCGGGTCCGGGTAAAATCCTACATTTTATTTTGTCTCACAATGAACGTTTCGACCTCTCTTTTTCACTTTAAACTTTCTTGCATAAAGTTTCAGTTAAATATTATGTCTCGAATGTTTTGGACGTCCTTAAAGTACTATTCTTACATTAATGTTATGTTAATTAGATTTCGACTTTTTTTCACTTAGTCATAAATATTAAAGTTATCTTAATCTTTCCCACGTAGGAAATATAGGAAGTTAAATTTATAAATGCCAATTACACACATTGTTCTAAATCAGGTAAAAAACAATTGAAATAAATAAAATTTATTATTAAAAAATTTGGAGAATAGATTCCAACTGAGAAACAAGTTGCTAAAAAACTTGCCAAGGGCAAATAAATTAAAGAAAATTGGGTTGGGTCGGGTCGGGTAAAGTCGGGTCGGGTCGGGTATTGTACGAAAGGTGAAAGTCGGGTCCGGGTCGGGTCGGGTCGTAAAATATTGAAGTCGGGTCGGGTCGGGTTCGGGTCCCCAAAAAAAGTCGGGTGATGGGCGGGTCGGGTTTCATTTTGACCCGACAATGTCGGGTCGGGTCGGGTCGGGTTTCGAAAATCGTCGACCCGACTCACCTATGATGGTTGCCCAAAGTTCAAACTAAATTCATATCATCTACATATTTATCTAGTAAGAAAACCCATAAATACACTGTGGGAGATGCGATACAAAATCTAGCCCGGCATTGGCAGAATATTGTGGTCATATTTTATGGTCAGGGTTGGCCAAGATACTACTCCAAGACTCTACTCCAAGATACAAGGTACAGTATCTTGTATCTAAAACGGTTTCCAACCAAAGTATCTTGTACTTGTATCTTACTAACATTTAGTTTGCTAGAAAGTATCCCAGGCACTTTTCATGATACAAGATACTTTTCATAATTTTTTCCTCCTTCAAAGTTTTATTGCCACGCAAAAACTGTTTCGAATTTCAGCGATTCCGTCATAAAAAATGATTATTTAGATTTTGAGCATGCTGAAAGTTCTGAATTTGTTTTTCGTAGGGTAATTTTAATTAAATTTAAAATCAGTTAAGACACAGGAACTACCGAAAAGTTATTCGATCCTAAGCTATGCTTGAAATGTTTATCGAGGGCCGCATGGCATTCATTCCAGGTAATAAATTGGATTATAAAATAAAGATTTATACAACTCCTTTCTAAGTTAATGGCTTACAAATCTTCATCATGCATACTATTTCCAATGAAGGGCAAGGTGCAAAAAGGCAGATTTTTGGCGAAGCTTTCTTACTGTTTAATTTTGAAAGTTATAATCGTATATTTAAGAATAAATCACTATGATAAAGTTGAAAAAGATTGCCCCCAACCACCTTTATAGGCCAAAACCTGAGGATGAGAATCTCGCTCTGTCGGTTTTTGATCGAGTTTTAAAATACAATATTTCTGTATTGATCGCTTTGATTTCAGTCAAGGTCTATGTTTCATTAGATTGATCACATAATTTGCATGAACTTATTACTAAATTCAAATAAAATAGATTTATTTATATCCTAATGTAGGTTTATAATTTTTTTTTTAAGTTTCGAGCGAAAGTCCTCCTTTCGTCATGCAGGAAGTAATCGGCAATACAAATTTCAAGCCCATTGGACCGCAGAATATTCTTGGATCACTACTTTCGTGAGAATAAAATGATTGTTTGCTCAATTTGCAGCAGAGCCAATGATTTGAAACTGTTTCCATCGCATCACGTTTTGGATCCTGGCTTCGTCACCGACGGCTACTGCAATTGGAAGAAGGGCTTGACTTACATGACTTTACTTGGAAGGGAAATGAACGCGTTCTCACCCAATCGAAAACATACCTGTTCACATTCACTCAATGAGGAGAAAATGAATAATGAATGAATGAATACTTCATTCAATGAATGAACGGTGAGTGAATAACTCGCTTCAACTTTGAGTTTGAATGATGAGTGAATGAAGGCTTCATGAATAATCCTTCGTTGAACGGTGAATGAATATTTGTTCATTCCTTCACTTTTTGTCCCATGCTTAATATATGGGGTGAATGAAGACATTTGCTCAATGAACAATGAATATGAAGGAAACGACTTCATGTGAATGAATATTTTCTTCATGAATATAAATAAATGAAGTTTGAATGAATAACTCGAATCAAAATTCACAATGAATGAATGATGAATGAATAATTTTTTTTTGAACAGGTATGATCGAAAAGCAAGCAACCCCAAATTGCCGTCCAAGCTCTTAAGGTTAACTCGAACTGGACAAAGCAAATCTAAGCCCAACTATCGGAACAATTGGCTGAATCACAAATCGTTACCCGCAAGTGCTTGAAGACAATTTTTATTGAATCAGTTAGGAATTGAAGGGATCCCGATGCTGGGCCATTTTTTCAAGATTGACATTTTGTTAAATTGCTTCATCTTCGATCGGAGGAGGTTCCAGAACTGAAATTGTGGCTGAATAAATTTAAGCCCATCACCTGGCACGACATATAAAATTAAATTTTGCAGATTTATGCTCATGCCATCCTACGAAGAATTGTATGCATAACTCAAACCTGTGGAATCTTTAGTCTAATCGTTAGTGAAACAATCGATTCGTCAGTTAAAGAGCAGGTCAGCATTTTTATCCGAATCGTTAATCCGGAACTAATGCCAGAAGAACTTTTTATTGGATTTTATCAAACTACTTCAACGAACGGAGAAGCCTTGTTCCATCTTATCACGGATGCCCTGTGCCGACTGAGGCAGGGTATATGTGTATATATAATCCTCGGGGACTATGCCATGACGAAGATGCAAATATGTATGTCAAGGCGATTAAAGGGTGTGCAAAGTTGAATTTTGAAAAGGGAGCCGAGGGCAATATAAGTATTTACACTGCAATAATCACTGACTTAATCTCGCGCTCCAGGATTCGGTCAAACCAGTCCCACTTTTAAGTGATTGTCTGCAATATATTGATGATGTTGGGTTGGTGTCCTAATGCATTAATTGCCCAAACGGCTCAACATAACTCTCAATCCATAATATTATTTATTTATCACGCTTAGCCATTTGCAACATTATTTGTTGTTGATTTTCTAAAGTGGGCGCTTTGAAGATATTGGCAGAGGTGGTGACTTAAACATTCACTGGCCAAGGGCTTTTCCCGAAATGTTTGAATTTTTGCAAGATGAGAGCAACGATGAGTGTGCGTCAAAATCCAGAGGCCTACCGGACCAATTTGAAAAGAGAAAACGCTTTTCACGATTTTACGCTCATGTGATCTTCTTGGGCCTGCAGAACTGCTTGCGGTTACGGTACAACGTCCAACCCTTTCGGTCGACGGATTCCCCGAAGTTGCTTTTTCCGTAATTTTGAGTTTTGTTGAAGCAAAAGCATTCGGGTTCGAAGCCCTTTGGAACGAACTGAATTCAAACATAACTATGTAGAATTTGGCAAATATTCGACTCCCCCGAAAACGCAAAGTGCTTGTCAAGATTTCTGACTCGGCATCAGACGTGAAACAATACCTGATTTACATAAGACTACGACCAAGGAGAAATTTATTTAATTATTTACGGAACTAGCAGTCGAAGCTCGAAACCTTTTTCCTGAAATTATAGGCTTGCTTAAATTACTTTTTGGTTATCCCAGCTTCTTATGCATCCGCCGAAAGATGTTTTTCAACGCTTCGTCGTGTCAAATTGTACTTGCGATTGATAAAAGAAGAGACTCGATTAAATTATTTGTGTATTTTATCGTCATGTCGTCATATCGTCGTATGATATCACAATCATTAACCTCTAACCGCTGTAGCATTTTTACAATCATCCTGGTCAGTAATTTATCTGAAAAAGGTCATTTCCTGTTAAACAGTTTATAAATTGTGTACACTTGTTCAAAATTGTACTCTGTTTGTTTGGCTTCACGACACAAACCTTCAAACTAACGACTTTCATTGGGTTGGACTAGATT